CAAAGAAAGCTTTACAACAAAAACAAAATAGTGTTCCCGAAAAAGGTAATTAATTACTAAATTAATTTATTTGAGGAAGCAGTGTCGCTTTTCATTAATCTTTAGAAAATTAAGAGGAAATTAAAATAGAAAGAAAATACTGCTGTTGAATCTCGATAATGTCTTGATGGGCACCGAATAGGGAATATTAGGGTTGGCGGATCCATCGAAATCTTCGTATATCCGGACCTTTTTCGTATCCGGTTATCCTGATCTGCCAATCCAAAGTGCATGAGATAATGAAGGAGCCTAAATAATTAAATTGAATAATTAAAGAATCCCCTTAACTAATTTTTCTTTTAAACATTTTTTTAAATTATTTTAAAAAAAAATTAGTTTCTTCATTTTCTTCAACTTCTTCCTCAACAAATTCCTCTTCCACCACAAATCTCCAACATAATGACCCGGCCCTCTACACAGCTTTATTTAAACGAAAATTTGTCAAAGTATTTACCGGTTCGTGGGATTTGCGTGCAACTGCTGAAAAAAGGTGGAATAGAAGAAGTAGCCGTAAAAAACAACAAAAAAGTGAAGGGGAAAATCGTCATAATTATAAAGGACGTAAACAACGAACATCTGCCTGTTTAATTAATTGTTTGGAATGCGATGTACCGGTAATGAAAAAAAATATTGGGTGATTGGGAGGGGGAGTATGTAGTTAAATGTGGGAAGGGGGGGGGGGAGTAGTAGTTAAAGGAGTGAAAAGATGGGGGGAGGGGGGGTATAAATAACTGTTAGGTATTTTATAAAATAAAAAAGCTTGCAGAAAAACATTAGTTAAAACTAAAAACATTCCGGAAAAACATCATTTCCGGCATAATTAAGGTAATACATACATATATGTATATTTTGTAGTGTATTTTGATACATAATATTTTTTAATTTTATTATGCAGGTAGTATGCAATTTTTTATTAAATATTTATTTATTTAAATATTTTAAATAATTTTTTAATCTTTTTTTATTTTTTAAAATATTCAAAACTTTGACTTTTGTATTTTTTTTATTTTCTAAAAATATATTATTATTTTTTATTTAAAAAATCTTTTTAAAATTCACGCAATCCTTTTTTAAATTAAATTTTTTTATATAAATTTCAAAAATATATTTTTATATCCTCTTTTTTCTCTTAAAATTTTTTAGCTAAATTGAGTGGGAAAAAGGAAGCTAAAATAAAATAAATATATTTTTTAAAGAAAATTGTATGGCACATGTGTGTGTGTGCCTGTTTTTGTCATTCCATTTATTTATTTAAGGGTCATATGCCATTTAAATAAATAAATATATTTTATTTTAAAAACAATATAACCACTATATTTTTATTTTTAAAAATTAAGATTGGAATTAAGGTTATCAAAAATTTTGTTTTTATTTTTTATGAGGAATAAAAAACCCTTTTCAGTATTTTTTAATTTTTCTATGGCCGCGCGTTGTTTTGGGCTGTACACATATTCTTAATTTTTGTAGTCCTTTGAATTTCAAATATCAAGAAATTTTTAAATTTCTTTCCAACTTCTAAATATTCTCTAAAACTGCCCAAGACTTTTGGTGTTAACTCAATCTTTCTCTTTTCTTTGGTCTTGAATCTTTTCGTTTTTGGACAGCTTTACTTTTCTCCGTCCTCTTTTATTAAATTTAAATTATTTTTTAATAACTCTTTTCCAGCTTTTCCATTTAATACCCCCCCCCCCTTCAATTTATTTTCTTTTAAAAATTTTTAATCGTTTTTAATCTTTTTATTTGGTTATTTAATAACTTAAGTATTTTTTTAGAAAAAATAATTATTTTTTTATTTAAAATTAAATAACTTTTTAAACAATTTTTCTTTTCTTTCCGTTCATTTTAAATATTTATTTTGTTCGTGCTTTGCTCTCTTCTCCCTCCCTCCCATCAATCTCCCGACAGTTCGGAGATGGTTTTTTTATTAGCAAAATATGTCAGTGCATTTTTTACGTAAAAAAGGCCAAATTTTGTGTCTTTTTCTTTGATTAAATTGTTGGGAAAAAATAAAAAAATAAACTGGTTTTTTCTTTGAAAATTAATGAAAATAAATTTATTTTTTTATTTATTTGGTACTTATTTTTTATATTAAGTCACGTCATAAAAAAGGGGGATTTTTATATTTTGACCCGAACATTTAATAAATTATTTAAATTATTATTATTTTTTAAAGCCAAATGTACTTTTGTTTTCGTTAAAATAATTCACCTCAAGTTTTTTAAAGAGGTAGTTTTCATTAATTATACACTTTTTCTAAAATCTTTTCCTTCTATAATACCTACATATGTAAAAATTATAAAAAATTAAGGTATAGTACATTTAATACATAAAAAGCTTGGGGGCCTTTCTACATATTTTAGAGATTCTTATTTTTAATTTTATTTTTAATTAAAAAATTTGTCCATTTATTTAACGGCAACAGATATAAAATTAATTTTTTGGAGAATATTAATGCTTGGGATTTGTGTTATAAATTAAGGATTAAGTAATTCTCTTTAATTAGAAGAATTTAAAAATTAAAAGATTATGATGCTTTATTCCAAGTAAAATGTCTCGTCTTTTTTTCACAAATATTTTTAATAAATTCTTTAATTTTTATACTCTTTATTCTTTTAATCCAAAAATTTATTTAAATATATCTTCTCTCTTCTTTTAGCACATTTTTTGAATAAATGGATATATACCTCTAAATATATTCCCCCAATTATGCCACCCTTTCTTTTCTCTTTTTTGTTATTTAAAATTTCCATTCACGTGCATAAACGAATTTATTCATGCATTTCAAAAAATACCCACCTGCTCCTCCCCTCCTCTCTACATATTTTATTAATTAATTGAAAATATTATCATTGCACCAAATAATTTTTTTATAATTTTTTTACAAATTAAATGTATGGTTTTTGGTTAATAACTTTTAATTAATTTAAATATATACTGCAGTCTAGTCTACGTTCGGTTATCTTTTTTGCAGTAGACTAGGGGGTAGCGGTAGTAGTTAAACTTTTTAAAGGCCGGAATAAGGGATTAGCGGAATAGAGTTTGAGGATCCGGAAATTCTCTAAATGTATATCGAATCCGGATATCTGAAGATTCCTAGGATCTGCCAATTCTAGTCAGGACATTAACTTTCCGACTACCTAACATGAGGATATTGAGCATAACATTCTCCCACAAACATTATTGCATGATAATATTTGTATATAGTGCTAAATACCCCTAAAATTTTTTGGTTAATTATTTGATATTCATTTCCTTTCATTTTTTATTTAAATCATTCTAACACATATTTGGTTTTCTATTTTTATCTTATATGTAAAATTGTTGGCATTTTTTGAAAATTTTTATTAGTTTTAATTTTATGATGTTACATAAAAGATTATAATATTATTTTTTATAAAAATAAAAAATATTATTCTCGTTTATGGGGATATAAGGAAGGGAAGGAGAGTGAAGGGAAAGAGAGAAAATTAGCTTTTGTAAAAAAGCTTTCTTTACTATAAAGTCTGGTGACGTCACACAAACTTGGCACCCTCTTCTCCTTCACAAACATTCTCAAACAATTTTCTTTAGTACAGGCTGTCTTTTAAAGAAAAAAATATTTAATAGTTTGTTTGGATGTTCCCTTCCCCCCCCCCCCCTCTCCCTCCACCCTCCCTCCCTCCACCCCCATTACTTTTCATCTTTCCTTTCCTCTCTAATAAAGTTGGTCTCTTTTTAAATAAATATTTGTTAAAGTTAAATATTTGCTTAAATCATCGTTCACAAACGTGCGCAAGATTTGTGACGTAAAAATAAGGGTTGATATTTACCGTGACTTAGTTTTTGTTTGCATGATGGCCTAGCAATACTAATAAATAATTTTAAGGAGGGAATATAATCTTATATATGTATAACAATTGACTTAGTCTTTAATAAAAAAATATTTTTTTGAGTTTTCCTTCGTGACTAAGGGGATTACTTAATTACATATTTAAAAGATTTTAGAATTGTTATTATTCTATCAAAATCTTTAATTTTAACATTTAGTTTAATAATTTAGTATATTTTTAAATTTTATTTTACCTAGTATTTTCCATTTTTCCTTAGTTTATTAACATTTACTTGACAAATGTTAATTATTATTATTTTAATTAATATATTTGAGGGATTTGATTATTTAAAAAAAATATTTGGATTATTTTTATAGGCAACTAATAAATATATTTATTTAATTTAATAATAAATCTTTTAAAATCTCTTTCAATATTTCAATTATAATCCTTTAATTACGTAAAATATTTAATTGACTCTTTTGCTAGTCTTCTTTAATAAAAAAAAGGAGAGAATTAGAATAATGGCACAGATTTTAGAGCATTAGCGACTTAACGATATTTAATAAAAAATGAAAACCTAAAATTATAAAAATTTCATACTGATAAATTTTGACTGATTTTTAAAAATTTTACAATTTTTTAGTTAAGGTATTTTTAAAATAAAGAAAATTCTCCGCTTTTTCTCATAAATTTCAATGAATTATTTAATAGATCTGAATTAATCTGCTCAAAATTTTCATTGCTCTACTCTATCTATCTTTAACTATTTATTATTGACATCCTAGGCATTAACAACTAAATGGGGATGTAATTTGTTTTTTTTTTCTTTAAAATAAATTAATATATTCATCTAATTGTTTATGGCTTCCAACATTTTCTTTAAATTCTTTTCATTTTATTTTTAATTTTTAATTCATTGGGAGATTAACTGAGGATATGTACTATTAAATAGTAGTTATTTTGAAATACTTTTATAATATTTATACATAAAATACTTTTATGTATCAGTAACAAATCTAAAAATGTTTTGGAAACCTCTGTATTCAATTGACATTTCTATTCACTACTAAGGTGGGCAAATTCCCGGATATCCAGCCCTCTTTTTACTCAAAAAAGCCATTTTGCCTAACATTACAATTAATTCAAAAATAAATATAAGTACATAGGTGTCACCTTTATATGGCATTTTCTAACAATAAGTAGACTTTCAGATAACCTCAAATATTATAATTTTCCAAAATCTTTTTCGCCTTCATTATTTAAAAAATTCTTTCTTTCTTTTATTTTTTTTCTTTTTCTTTTCTACATCTAAAACGATTTTCGTCCAATTTTTTTTGATTAACTTTATTATACTTTTTATATTAAAAATTATTATCTGCTTGTTTATGTCCAAAAAGCTCTTCCCTTCTCCCTTCCCTTTTTTCTTTTTTATTTTTCTCATCTTTCTTTCCCAATTTGTCCAGCTGCCACTAAATTTTTTTTCTTTTTTTTCTATCGATTTCCCCTTACCTACAATTTTACCTCAATTCTCCCATTATTTCTCTGAGAGTGTTTTTATTATTTTTTTATTAAATAACAAGAAAATTAAATAATAAATAAATATTTTTATTTTTTAAATTTAATTCAAGTTTTTTAATATTTTTTCTACAAATAATTAACCATAAAAAAGGTTGGAAATTAATTTTTGGAGAAATTAGGGAAATAATAAATAATTATAATTCCTCTCACGTGTTTTTAATTAAAAATAATTTTATAATAAATTATTATTCTTTAATTATTTTTTAAATTAATTTAAAGAAATATTTAATAGAAAAATAAATTTTGAAAATTTTAATTGTTTTTTTTTATCTCAAATGACTTTGGAAAACAATAAATAAAAAGGGGAGAGAAGGGGGAATTCAGAAATTATTTTTATTCATAAATTAGGGTAATTTCTCCTTTTCTGAAGTGACATTAATTTTTAGTTGTGCTAGTTAAAATAATAATTCTCGAAATTAAAAATCCTTTTGGGATTCGGGAAATTTAATAAAAAAATTTATCGATGAGGAAATCTACTAAATTTTAACGTAACAATAAAAAATGTTAGACAGAAGATTTAATGTTTAGCCAGAAATGAAGAACCGAAACTAAGAAAATCCCTAAATTTCCAAATAATCCTTAAAGTAATTTACCGTATTTTTCCAAATAAAGGCCCACTCGCTAATACAGCCTTACGTTTGAAGATAGTTGAAAAATAGAGACACACTTTCAATTAGAGCTTCATTCCCTAATACAGCCCCAGTCCGGAGAACTGTTGAAAAATATAGCTCCATGGGGCTGTACTTGGACAAATACAGTATATACATATAATATACTCTTATTTATTTTAAATAAACTTCCATCATTAAACTTCCATATATCTCGACTTATAATTAATTTCCCGAAAAAGTAACTAACTAGCTTATAACCTTTCTCAATTTCCGAGATGGACTTTAAGTTACATATTTAATTTGTTTTTTTTCTTTGTAAATTATTTTTTCCGCCTGTCAAATAAATAAAATTACTTCAAATAAATACTACTAAATACTTATCTCTTTTCTCGCTATATTTAAATAGGAAATGTTTATAAAAACAAAAACAAACAATAACAACTTTAAAAACCAATTAAGCGATCTCTTTAAAAGAACAACAATTTTTATTTTTTATTTATTTTTTCGGAAATGTTTATTTGAATATTTAAATATGGGAAGAATTACTTTTTTATTTTTTAGTACTTTTATAGGAAAAAACTAGTTATTTTTTAACATTTATTTTTTTGTAAATTTTTCTAAAAACATTTTTTTATTTTTATTGGGTTAAAATAATGCGCGGGGAAAGTTTTTTTTATTTTCTCAAAAGTCGTATGAAATTGTTTTTGGAGGGAATAAATAATTAAATAATCAAGCTCTATTTACGACATTTTTGGGACCGAATTGGATTGACATTGAATGGAAGAAGTGTTAGGGGATTTTGTGAACTTTGAGAAGGACTTTGAAAACTTTATAGGAATCCCCAACAATATAATTAGGGTTGCCGTTTTCGAGTCGGGCCATACGAGTCTTTTTCGGGCCAGATATTTTAGGCTCGACTCGATCTTTCGGCCCGAGTCGGTCCATTTTGGCAACCCTAAATATATTCTTAATTTCGATAAATATTTATTTATTTATTTATTTGACATATGTATTTAATTTAGCTATTTAAAAAGGTACTTCCTTCTTTTCCCCTTATTTTTTTAATTTTCCCATAATTTATTTTTAACTCATTTTAAATTCAAATTTCCTTTTCCGGGGCAAGTGCTCTTCCTTGTTAACAAATAAAAAATACTCAAAATATATATCCGCGCATTTTGTAATTTTAAAAGGAAATATATATTGACGGAAGTAGGAAGTATATTACAAGGATATACTCTCTTTACAAAAAATTTTTCTCACATTTTTTATTCTTTTTTCTAAATATTGGATTATTTCTTGGCGCCATAAAACTTTTAATTAATAACTTCCAAGAATTTTTCTTTTATTTTTCCTAAACTTTTGAAGATCAGCAAAATATTTAAAAGAATTTAACAATCTCTCAATTAATCCCCACGCCGTAACATACCCTTTCAAAAGTGTAAAAAGCTTTCCCAACAAATTTAAATATTCTTTTACCTTTTTTACACATGCTTATACTTATTCCCCGATTTTGTGTTTGGCAATAATTTATTTAATCTTCCCTTTCCGTTAACTTTTAAAATTAATTTTTGGAAAGGATTTTGGGAATGAGAAAAAAAATATTTGAATATTTCAATAAAGGATTATAAAAAGAGATGGATTGACTTTTTATTTAGTTAAAAAGAATATTTTAAATATTTTTTGTAGAGATTAAGATTTTTGAAAAAAAAAATAATTTTTTTAATTAAATATTTTTTTAAATCCCTTAAAATTTAAAATTTTTAAAATTATTTTCTAAATATTTTTTATATTTATTTTTAATAAATATGTTAATGTTTTTTCTTTAATTTTTGATACAACTGCCAATTAATTAAAATAATGAGAAAAAATATTTTTTGAAAATATACATATTTTGAATATAATTTTTTTATATTTTTTATGAATAAATTTTTTTCAAAAATAAAAAAAAAACTAATATTTTTTGCTCTTCTCCAAATTTTTTTCTTTATGCGCCCAACAAAAAATTTCTAGTCTAATAATGAGTTTACCGTATTTACTCTAATAATCCCCCAGTCCTTTATTAATTCCCCAGTCTCTATTAATTCCCCACTCTAGAAATGGGTTGAAACAATAATCCCCCTGGGGGATTACTAGAGAAAATACGGTAATTAATAATAATTAGGTAGTTTTTTTTATTATACTTCTGTTTTGGCTTTTTATTGGACTTACATTAAGAACTGGACAAGAACCCCAATTTTTATTTTTCTTTTATTTAATTAATTAATTTTTTTATTTTTTAGACATCCAAACCCCGCGTTTCAAATATTACATTTTCTACAGTAACCTCTGCTACTGGTTTGCCAACTATTGCTGCCGAACCTTCTAGGCCACGTTCTAGCAGGTAAATAGTCTTTAAAGTTCTTTCCCCGTTATATATTACAGTTAATTTATTTAATACACCTTCCCAATCCTTCATTACTTCCATTCATTTCGATTCTAAGGGAGATTTATTTTAGAGGGATTTCACCTGTATTTTTGTTCTAAAAAGTATAAATTTAGTGAAGATTTATAAAAATAAAAAGAAACTAGGAAGTATAGTTATTTTTACAAGCTTTTTAAGCTTTTTTTTTATTAAAAACAAACTTTCTTTATTAACCTTTTATCTTTAACTTTAACCCAAATATTTTTATTTCCTTTTATTTTTTACTTCCTTCTTTTTAACTACAAAACTTGTTTTATTTTTTTAATTTTTATACTACAAAAATTTAAGTATAGTTATTCATTTACTTTTGGTGAATGAAAGAAATAAAACTTGTAAAAATACAAAAATTACATAAAAATTTTTTAATTAAAATTTTTATTATTTCCTCGAAAACTTTCCGAATCCGTATATAAATAAAGTGTATTTTTTTAATTAAAAAAATAATTTTCGATGCTTAATATGTAGTTAATCCTTTTTTCTGAAAAAATATATTTTAGTAAAAGAACTATAACTATTAACTTCCTCATTTTTTTAAATCATTAGAACCAAAATTAGAATTTAATAAAAAAAATCCATTAATTCTTTTTTAGTTATTGGAAAGCTTTACCTCCAAATTTAGAAGAAAATCACCACCACCAACACCAACAATCTCCCCAACAATCCCCCCAACAATCACCAACAACCACAAATCCCTTCATTATTTCCCCAACCTCTTTTTGTCGTCACAAACAATTAATTTCTTCTTCAGATGTCCCCAAATTAAAAGAAATTAAAGAAAATAATCAAAAACAGTCCTCTTCTTCTTCTTCTTCCTCCTTCTCTTCTTCAGAAATTAATCAAACAAAAGTGGCTGAAAAGCCTTTTTTATTTAAATCAACGTCTGCAGACAATAATAATCATAAAGGAGGAATTGAAATGACTGGTTAGCTGAAATTTTTTAAATTAATTTTTTGGGGTTTATAATAGAGGATAGATGGTCTTTTTGTGTGAAATAACTGGGATTTTTATTGGATTAAATATTAATTTTATTTTTGTTTCCATTTTATGTTGATAGGGAATTTATGATGGTGTCTTTCAATAACACCTCACAATACTCAGTTGCTTTTCTCAATACAATATTATTAAATTTGGTCTTTTTCCAAGACCTTATTATCTATGTATGTATTATAACCCCAATCACTTTTCCATTTTTGGAGTATAACGAAAGCCAACATTAATTCCATAACCAATCAGCCAGCCAACCCTTAATTTTAATTAAATTGTAAAACAAATTAATTCGTTTTTAAATTTACTAAAAAGATTTTCATTTAACAATCTCATTAAAAATCATGGGTGTTGCAATTTAATTTTTAAAAGACAGAAAACTAACATCTTTGACAATTCATTTATTTAAACTCTAAAATTTTTCTAATTAAAAAAATTAAAAAAGAATTCTTTTAAGGCCAACCAAAAGATGTTAGCCCCTCCACATCAGGCACTACACAAAAATTATCTAATTCTAGCAGTCCAACTACAACAACAAAAAAACAACCAAAAAAGGCATCTAAAACTTCAAACGAATCTTTAGATAAACTTTCAAAAGATTCTGAATGTCAAAAGCAGCCAATCTCTTCAAGGTAAATTAATGTTTTTTTGGTTTTTTAAATTTATTTTTCGTTGATTTTATTCATCCTTTAAATTTATTAAAATTAAATTCGAGTCCCTCGAAACCTTCATAATTCGGAAAATCAAGAATTCAAAGACGCTAAAACAAAAATCCTCATTCCCCGTTTATTTTTAATTCACACTTTTCATTTATGCCTTTCAAAACCTATGTAAAAATTTAAAATTTAATAAACTTAAAACAAAATAAAAAATAAAAAAAATAAAATTTAAAACATAAACTTAATCAGAACTTAAAACACAATTTAAAACTAAAAATAAAATATTTTTTTAAGAAAATTAAAAACTGAACAAGAAGAAGGACAAAAAATATTCAAAACTTCAGACGGAACAATTTACGAACTTAATGAACTAGAATCTAAATGTTCAGTATTAGGTCAACAATTACAGGAATGGAGTTTTCCTATTTTTAATTTTGCTGATAAATACAAAAATACTGTTCTCTCTAGGGTAATTAAACTTAGGAAAAATTAATTTAATTAATTAATTATTTTTTTAAAGTTAACTTTTGCAATATTTAAAGAAGCTGATTTATTTAAAACATTCAAGATCTCTTACTCTAAATTCTTCAATTTTTTCCATGCTTTAGAATCTGGTTATTGGGATATTCCCTGTTTGTTTTAATTTTTAATTATTAAAATAATATTTTGATCCCCCTCCCTTATTGATAAATATTAGAAATTAAGCAAAAGTTTATTTAGTCTTACTCTAATTTCTCTTTTCTAGAAATAACCACCGCTCAATAAGGTTTGCGGATAGTTATAAATCTCCGGATATCCTATCTAATATCCGAACCGAAAATTTTTGGATATCCGCCTTTTTTCTGATCCGAATCCGCCAACCTTACTAATCAGTTTAATTTTATTCCTTTCCTTAGAAGTATTAGGTCTTTTTCTCTCGATCCTCTCAAAGAAATTGTTTGTAGAAGCTTTTAGATGGCTAACTAAATTTTTTCGGAAACTTAACCTAATTCTTTGATTCAAAATAATTTAAATTGTGGTTTTGGATCTGTAGGGAATCCAAAAATAAGTATTTAGTGAAAATCGAAACTATATTCCTTCAGATAATGACCCTTTATTAAATTTTGAAGATAAATTTATGACTCACCCTCAATATTTTATCCAATAATTAATTTAAATTATTTAAATTAAAAGATCACAACCAAATTCACGCTGCTGATGTTTTACACGGCTGTTTTTATTTAACTTGCCATTCAGTACATGCATTTTATGATTATCACCAATCTTTAGAAGAGGTTGACGATGAAGGGGAGGAAATTGAGGAATTATCTAAATATTCAAATAATTGGGAAGAAATATCTAAAAGGCACCAACAACAACAACAATTATTTAATAATAACAATTCTGTTGAATCAACAGCTATTCCCTTATCACAAAGCATGAGTGCCTTGGAAGTAATTATATTTTATTAAAACCTTCTTCTTAGCAAATACAGTCAAACCTCACTAGAAAATAAATTTTTGGAATTGAGAGAATCGTAACAAGTTGTCAGGGGGGCATGTAGTTAACTCTCCCAAATAATTTCCAACCAAGCTTATATTAGACTGGAGGAGGTGATACCTTATTCTGTTGATATCTTGTAGTTAGGTCAACCTTTATACATATTTTACTCCTTCAGTTAATGGCCCTTTACTCAGCTGCAGCAATGCATGATTATGACCATCCAGGTAGAACTAATGCTTTCCTAGTTGCTTCAGAAGATAAAAAAGTATTTTTATTTTGAATTTGGGGATTATGTAAATTTAATTTTTAGGCAATTCTCTACAATGATCGGTCTGTACTAGAAAATCATCATGCTGCCGAGTCATGGAAACTTTTAACTTCTCAATCGAGTTATAATTTCATTGAAAATTTGGACTCGGCCGAGACAAAACGTTTTCGGTAGGAACTTTGATTTTTTGATAAAAATTATTAGGAATATTTCGTGAAATTATATAAGATACATCCAATTGTCTACATCCAATTTGTCTACTTTTGGGAGCACATTTAACTCATTTGAGATATGAAATTTTCTTGATATTTATTGATATATTCCAGTCACTCACTTATAAATTCACCTAATATTAGATAATTTAAGCTACGCCACTTTATAAAAAATTTTCATAGGCTGTGTACAATCTTTTTTAGATACCCCTCATTTTAACTCAAAGTTTGAACAAAAATCATCTTCCTTGTTTTAACCTTTCCCCTTTTCAGTTATTTAGTATTAGAATATATTCTCGCAACAGATTTAAAACAACATTTTGATATTATTGTTCAATTTAATGAAAGAGCACCTTCTATGGATTTATCTAACGAATCTGATAGAATGTTGATTTCTTTAATGATTATTAAATTTGCTGATATTAATTCCCCGGCAAAACCTTTTTCTTTACATAAACAATGGACTGAAAGAATTTGTCAAGAATTTTATGAACAGGTACATATATCGAGTATTGTTTAATTATCTCGTTAATTAGGGACCTATCAGGGGTGGTCCGAGGTTCACAAAATACGAGACAAGAGATTTACGAGATACGAGATTCTCAAAAAAAAAGAGATGCGAGACACAAAATACGAGACCTCTATAAAAACTCGAGATTTCACGAGATACGAGACCAAGCCCACCTCTGGTGCCTGAATAATTAGGCACCTAGTTTTTTTTTGTCATTTTTATTGGAAATTATTTTTTTAGAAATTTTTTAAATTTAACAAAAAAAATTTTTAGGGAGACGAAGAAAGGCTTAGAAATATGGCAATAAGTCCATATATGGATAGAAGCGAACCAGCAGTTGCCAAACTTCAGGATTCGTTTATTGCCCATATTGTCAATCCTTTAGCTATTGCTTTAAATGAAGCTAATTTATTGCCTATACTTCCTGGGCTTCCAGAATCTGGTGAATTTAATGAGAAAAAATTTAAAAATAATTTAAAAATAATTTTAGAATTAATAATTAATCTGAGGCATAATCATCAAAAATGGCTTAATCAAATTGAATTTGATCAAAAATTTTGTAGGGAAGGTGAAGACGGAGAGGGAAATGCTTTGGAAAAGAACAAAACAAATATTTCTAGGTAGTTAATTGAGGTTTTTGAGTTTGGACTGGGAGGATGTCAGAATACTATAGAGCCATACAAAATTTTTTTGACACCATTTGACTCAGCTAGTCAAGAGCATGCCGACTCCTTCCATAATTATCTAGACCTGATTCTCTGCAATAATTATAATTCCTGTTTAAAATCCTGCAGTAAAAAGGACTGTGATAAGGAGTGGCTATTTAATAGTGCCAAGATAGGGCTATTACAGGGAAATTTTGGAAAATGTTAGGGCATTTAAAGACAATTTTTGTTCAGTAAACTATTTACAAAAATTATGAAAGTCTTTTTTGTCCCCCTCGATCCCCCTATACTTTAAATAAAGAATATTTTTTAAAGATACTCAGAACCTCCCTTCAATACAAAACAACAATCAAATAATTTAATTAATAATCAAAATAATTCCTCAATTCATTCTTCTTCCCCTTCATTATCCTCTTCAAATAAAAATATTCAAAATAATGAAGAATTAAAAAATACAAAAAATGGTCATAATCAACAATTAAATAAAGAAGATATTAATATTTCTAATAAAACAACAAAAAATCCCCCTTCAAATTTAGTTTTTAATAAAACAACAAAAACAAAATTAGGGGTTTGTTTTTAAATTTTTTGGGGGGATTTTATTTATTATAAATTGTGTATTAGGAAAATAATTTGGACAAAGGTTATTAAGTTTTCGGTACATTAATTTTTGTTCAATATAAAATACATCCCTCTTAGTGTTGAAAATAAACTCTCAACTAGAGTTGATGGGTCCTGGGAATATCCTCTTTTTTCGGATATCTAGATTCGCCAACCTTTTATCTTCAATTAAAGAAAATATTTTTCCTTTTTTTCAATTTAGAAAATAAAAACTTTTTTATCTTTTCTTTTTCTACCTATCATTTAGTTTTTTTTTAATTTTTCTTTTTTTCAGTTATAAAAAATGCCGTTTCTCAACAATAAATACACACAAAGTGCCTACTACTACAACATTTGTTTTTCTTCTTTTAACCTTTTTTCTCTTTTTTACCTTTTTACAACCTTTTTTATACTTTTGCGAGGCATGAGGAATTTTTAAAAATTTTTTTATTAATTAAAAAGGCAATTGATATTTTTATTATATTTTTAGAATCGAGTTTATATTTATTTTTGTGACCTCAAAATTAACCCTTTATTAACACTTTTCTGTAATTATTTATTCGATATATATCAGGGATCTAGCCGACATAAGAATTTAATTCCCGATTTTCATGAATCGGAAATAGGGTCGACTACATAGATCCCTGATACATATACTTTAAATATTTTTTGCTTGGAGTTCTATTTAACAGTTTTACACGAGAATATTTATCGAATAAATAATTTTTTCCTTTTGTTTTTTAAAAGGGGTATTTCAATCATTTTTCTAAATTTTATTTTTGAAAAATCAAAATCTTTAATTTAGTTAAAATTTGTCGGTTGGATTACCCTAAATTAAAGCCTTTATTTTTGTTTCCACAAAATGAATGAGTAATAATTTATTTTACTCATTTCAAATCAGTGTTTCGAAAATTTGATTGTGTTTACGAGAGACGAATTTTGTTAAGACCTTCGAAACACTTCAAAATCTTTTTTCATTTTATTTTTAAGGCCTCTTTTTGCACTCGAAATCTCAATTTTTTTATTTTTTCTTTTTTTCTTTTAATTTTCAAAAAATAAAATTTACTTTTTTTTACAAAATTTGTTTTAAAAATTTTAAATTTTAAAAAGTCGTTATTTTTTTATTATTTAATTTTATAAATTACCTACTATTTTTAAAATTTTTAGCGTCCACTTGTAATTTGTACAATACACGAAGGATGTAATACACCAGAGGATGTTTAATAAATAATTTTTAGTTATACACATTTATGTATTTATTTTTAGTCTTTCAAAAACTTTATTTTTGTAAATAAAAATTAATTTCTCCAATGTTTAAGTTTTTATTTAAATGAAATATATTTTTTTAAATACTTTTCATTGATTTTTCCATATAATTTAGTAAATTAAATTTTTTCGATGAAAGTTTTCTTTTGCAACATAAGCACCTGAAACGGAGATTTTTGAATATCTTTTAGCCGCGATTAGGACTGTAATACACTTAAGCAATCGCGATAAACCGACCATCATTAAATAGAAATTGGACTGTTGAGTGCCGACCACTTGAGTCTAGACTATTGGTCCTTTTCAATATTTAACTTTTTAATCCCGTTAAGAGAAATCTTTTATCAGCCTTTGTTCCTTTTCTAAATTCTTTATATATTTTAGTGAATAAAAATATAAATTATTTAAATGGTCAACGTTCCAAAGGCTCGTAGAACTTTTTGTCCGGGCAAGTGCCGCAAACACACCGGGCACAAAGTAACGCAATACAAAAAAGGAAAAGAATCGAAGTTTGCGCAAGGTCGACGACGTTATGACAGCAAACAGAAAGGTTTTGGAGGTCAGACTAAGCCAATTTTCCGCAAGAAGGCCAAAACTACAAAGAAAATTGTGTTACGAATGGAGTGTGTTGAGGTTTGATTATTTATGTAATTTGGAAATTGAGATTTTTAAAATTGATTTTTTAATTCGCTAAATGGGGTTGACTCTGGATGTGTAAATTGCGAAACCCCGACGGGGGAAATCCAGTATGTACAAAATATGCCTTGATTGGCCCTATCCCGGAAGGGTCGAATCGTTAAAGTAAAAATCCAGACAAGCTTGACCTGGCTAAATTTCTGATTCCTTTTTAACAAAAAAACAGTTCACTTTGTCTCAGAAATAAAAGTTTTCCAAGCTTCTAGCTTTTTTGGTCTTTCCCCATTTGATTATTTTATTTTTTTAAATTTAAATTCTTTTTACTTTTAGTGTAAGCATCGCATTCAGAAAGCAATCAAACGCTGCAAGCACTTTGAATTGGGTGGACAAAAGAAGTCGAGAGGACAAGTTATTCAGTTTTAGATAAATTGCTGAATATTAATGTGTTGAAAAATTGTTGTTATTTGATAAAAATATTAAAAAGAAAATTTTTTGTGTTTTTTTAAATTAATTATTTTTTAAATAATTATTTTTCTTTTTATTTTAAATTAATTTCTAAATTGTTTTTGGATGGTTTTGCCACTTTCTTTGCTCAAAACTGCCCAAAATCATCCTATGCTAATTGAATTGAAAAATGGAGAAACTTATAATGGAATGTTAATTGCTTGTGATTCTTGGATGAATGTTCATTTACGGGATGCTATTTGTACTTCTAAGGTTTGGAATTTTAAGTAGATAAATAGTCTGGGGAATGGCTTTCCCTTTGTTTTCAATTCTTCGGCCAAAGATTATACGGTTTTTCGCTTTTTCATTAGGCGATAAAATAACAATTTGGCCTATATTATTTAATAGATAAAATATCTAGGGTGGCCACACTTAAATGATTTGTGTGTTCATAGTTAGAAAATTCGGACAAATTAGAATTTTATTTGAGGGAGTTTTTAAGGCTTTTAATTTCTACCCCTTGGAAATTGAAGGAATCTGAACTTTGTTTCACACATTAGACCCATGGGTGTTAATTTTTGATTTTATTAAAGAAAATCTTTTAGGAAGGCGACAAATTTATGAAAATTCCAGAGGTTTATGTTCGTGGTTCTACAATTAAATATTTACGTATTCCAGATGAGGTTTTCATTTTATTTTAATTATTTTTCTAAATTATAATTTTAAGGTTGTTGAGTTAGTAAAAGACGAAGTTAAAGAAGTTCGTAGACAACAAAAAGAAAATCGAACAATGAAAAGAAATTTTGCTAAAGGTGCAAGAGGAGGGGGAAGTGGTGGTGGTGGTGGAAGGCCGGGTGGAGGTCCTAAATCTGGTGGAGGACAGAGAGGAGGAGGGCATCATCAACAGAGACGTTGATTGATTTAATTGGCTATTTTTTAAAATAAAAATTTTGGTTTTTTTATTTATTTGGATAAATTTAATTCCTATTTTGATAACAAATTATAAGCTTTTTAAGCACTTATATGTTACCTGTAATTTATTTAAAAATTGGATACAAAATTAAAAAATTTTTGATTCAGAAAGTCTATAAATTACTCAAACCTACTTATTATTTTTAGAATTATTTTTCCATTTTAGTAATTTTTAGAATTTCTTTTCACATTTTGTAATAATTTTCTTTTGTCAATTTCAAATGGAAAATTCAAATAATTCATCTTTACCCCCACCAATTCCACAAAGGCCTCTTACGACTTTTCCAAATAATCAAAATTACCTACCATTTTATAATCAAAATAATAATATTTCATATCCTTACCAAAGACAACAATATTTCCCAAATAGTTCTGGAATGTTTAATTAGTAAGTGGAAAAATTTCGAAATTGTTTAGTTGATATAGTGGAATCTTGATAAGACAGAATTGAGTCGGCTTCTTAATAGAAGAGAGGTGTTTTTCGGTGGTCAAATCTCTAAAACATCCCTTGTGCCCGAATTTGGTAGACTAATAAGTAGAATTTATCCATTCCTTTCCATGTTTTTCATTATACTGCCCTATTTGGATTTTAAGAGGATTTTTAAAAGTTATCAACAACCTCCCGATCCATATGGATTTCCAAGAATTAATAATTCACAACCAATGACTACATATGAATTTCTTCGTACTGCAGAAGGTTTGAAATAATTCAAATGAGTTTATAAAAAATTTTTTAGAATCAACAAGGGGTGCCTTTCAATCAATCGAACATGTTGCCAGTGCTTTCCTTTCTATCGCTAGTCTACTTAATTCTACATATGGAGCTGTGTTTAATTCGTTCAGGGCCATAATCTCTGTGGTTGAACAACTTAAATCGCTTAAACATTTTGTTAGTTTTTTATAAATGTTTTGTTAAAAAGGGTAGGGGATTCCAACATCATTGTATGTACTATCCTCACTCGTCCTTGCCTGCTAGTAATAACCAAAGGGCGATCGGAATTCCGATTTCAGAAAATTTGGGCTGATTTCCGAGTTCCGACTCTTGGGCCATTTCCAATTTCCGACACCTTCGTCAGTCCGATCGACCTCCGGTAATAATTTTTAACATGATTAAAGTTCCACAAACCTCATTAAATTTTATTTTCTAGCTAGTCTCTACATTCTTACTTTCTTTAATTCGTTGGATCCGTTTTCTATGGAGACGTTTATTAGCATCATTACGTGTTAGACCAAGAAATTATGCAAATTCAGCTTCCATTTGGGCAGGTATTAATGGAGAATTGGGTAAATAATTTTTAAATTTATTGAAAATTTAATATTAATATTCAGAACAAACTAAAAAATCTTCCAATTTTGGAACACTTATATTTTGGATAATTGCAATTGGCGGTCCTATTCTTGTCATAAAATATTTTCTTCAACAAATTAGAGAAAGTACTAGTGAATTAACTTCGGATTGGGCTACTGGTCAGGCAGAACATTACACGGCACAGGCAAAAATATTTTTATTTTCTAAAAACTTCATTAATTTTTAGGCTCTTTACGATTTTTCTGCTGCAAGCCAAAATGAATTATCCTTTTCAGCATTTGATACGCTTAGAATAGCACCCAAACAAAAGTATGTTTTTCTTTTCTCTTAATCAAAGCTGTCCGCGATAGAAGGTTTTTTTAAATTTTTTTAAAATTTAAAATTCTTATTTGCGGTCAGTCCTGCTTTTAATTCATAATTTATTATTTATTTTAAGGCAACCAGACATTAAAGACTGGCTATTAGCTAGGTAATATTTCTTTTTAATTTTAAAAATTAAAAAAAACATCTTTCACTCATTTTAGTAATTCTGATGGCTCAAAGATTGGATTAGTACCAATTAATTATATTCGAATTCTCGATCACAATAATACTTCAAATTAATTAAATTTTTATATTTTTCTTCAAATAAATTAAAATTAATATAATAAATAATGTGAGATCATCCCAAGCAATAAAACAATAATTTGGATTTCGAATATAAATTAAAAGAGAAAATAAAAGTAAAATTAAATTTGTTAAAATTTTTAAATTTCTTTCAGAAAATTTTTTGTTTAATAATTTTTGAAAGATTAAATTCTCTTCTTGTAATATAAAAATGAAGACAGCAAACAAACAATTTGCCTATAAAATTGAAATTAATTTTTATATCCTTTAAGTCCCAACTCTCAACTAAAACCCATTAAATTTAGAGATAGAAGAGTGTAACTTATGACGAGAGATATATTATATTAAAAGATATCTTAAATAGGCGTAATTGGACTATTTTATAAAGATTATTATTCCGTCACTGATTCTGAAAGAAAAAAATTCATTTTAACTTTCTCACCTCAAAATTTTGATCAAACATCTCTGCTCTCCATTCTCCATATTTTATAAATTTCCATATATAATCTACAACTGAAGGGATTTGAAAAAAACTAAAAAGCACTTGAAGAGTTGCAACAGAAGTGAAAATTAAATTATTAGAATAATTATTTAGTGTCTGAAAAATAATTTTAAAAATAAATTTTTTAAATTAAAATTCAAACCATTAAATTTCCAAAAGAATAAAAAGTAGAAAATATTAGTGAAGAATTATGTGAATAAAAGAAAAAAATTAGAAAAGAAGCAGAAACTAAATGTTTTGCTTTTTTAAATAAATTAAAATTTGTTTTGAAAATTTTGGTAGTAATATTTAAAATTGGTCGAAGAATGTTGACACAAATAATGTAAGAAATTGACAACAAAAATAAATTAAACAAGAGCAACAAAACCGCGGCAATTGAATCGCTAAAATGAAAAGAATTATTTAAAAATTTTTTAACTTTTTCGGCTTCCATAAATCGGAATAAATGATTCCCCCAATTTTTTGAAAATTTTAATTTGGAATTTTTTAATTTTTTTAGAGATAGAATTGGTAAATCCCTAGAAAATTCAACAGGATATCCAATTCAAAAAAAACTTCCCTTACATATTCTCCTTCAAAATTACAGCCAGCAACAAAATAACAAAACCAGCCAAATAATTTGAACATACAAAAAGACAACAAAAAGTTAAAATTAAAATAAAAGAAATTGGGAGGATATGTCGAATTCGTCGAAATCCCTTAAAGAAAAAAATTCTATAAAAAAGTATTTAAAGAAAAAACCAAACTCTAATCAAAGAAAGTTTAAAATCAAAAGAAAATGAAATTAAATATTCTTCACATTTATTTGTGTTAATTAATAAAAGTTGAAAGTTTTTGTCTTGATCGCCTTTAGAAGTGTAGATAAAAATAGATGAAGTTAAGGAAGATTTATTGTTTTGTTCAGTAATTGAGGCAATTCTTCTAATTTGGTTATTTACCAACAAAAAAGTATTCGAAGGTTTATTTACTGAAAAGAAAATATTTGAAAGTAATATTTAATTCAAGGAAAAGGGAAATGAACAGAGAAATCGAAGAAGAAAAATTTTTGATCCAAAAGTTTTAATCCGGAATTGAAAAAATAAACCTAAAAATTGAAAGAAGAAAATCGAAAATATCAACACAGCTCTGGAGATGACTTCAAAGTGATGATAGGTTTATGTATAAAGCAAGAAGGGATAAGCGAATAATTTGGGAATTAAAAATGAAAATGGTCACTTTCAAAAAAGAAATTGGATTTTCACAAACGAAAAAAGTAAAAATACTTTAGACTTTCCAAACTTTTTAAACCCCAATTTCATATTTTAATTAGTTTTTTGATAGAAAATCATTTTTAAAATCAAACCTGTTTTACATTTATTCATAACAATTTCAACATTGTAAATAAAAAAGTCAGCCTCAAAAAAAGTAAAATTTAGAGGAATTTGATAAAGTGACATTTCATCATCCATATTTTTAAAAATTTTAATTTTTGGCCAATTAAAAAGAATTTTAAATAAATTTAAATTAATTGGAATTTGTTTAACAATATTTTGATTTAAAAACTAAAAAAATAATTTAAAAAAAATTTATAATTTCTTTACCCAAAGTTTTGTTCTTACATTTATTTTTAAAAAAGCATTATTTGAACAATTTCCGATTTGCGCCAAAGAAAATAAATATTTTGTAGACAAATAACGATTATTTATTAAATTATTATATTCACAACCATTAATTGCCAAAAGAGATTGTTTTTGATTTTTTGAAAGAATAAATAAAAAATGATCATTAAATTTTCCGTTAGTATTGTACAGTCGAGTATAATCCTCCTAAATTTAGAAAATAAATTTTAATTAAACACAATTGTTTTGACAAAACATAAATTTTGAGCTAATTTTCAAAATTTGTATTAGTTTTTAGTAATTTTTTATCAATAAAAAGCCGAAATAAAAGAACATATGTGGCTTTTCCCTAATTGAATTTTTTAAATATTCTTTGATTAAGGAATTACTGATAATTTTTTCAATTAAAAAGAATAAATTTTTTCAAATTTTTATAGTTTTGTTTAAATTGGCCAAAACCAAAATTTTTACTAAACTTTGTTAAAATTCCAATTTTAGATTGAAATTAAAAGAAGGAGCTAGATAGACAGATTAATTCCAATTTGGGTTCAAAAATTTAATAAAAAACATACCTCATTAATTAGTTTAGAATCAAAATCATTTTTTGAAAAATGATAATGTTTATATAAATATTCATTAAAGTTCTCAATAAAAAGCTTAGGATTTGAAGCATAATCAAATAAAATACGTGAAGTATGTCTAAAAATAATTTTTAATTAGAGAAAATAAAAAAATAAAAACCGAACAAGTTGATTACACCACAAAATACATTTATGGTCCATATCAAGCCCTACACGATCCAAAGAATTTGTAGATGAATGTAAAGCCAAAAAAGGAGCATTTGTCCAATCTTCGTCAATAAATTCATCTTTAATACCTCCATTAATTGATATAATTTTTGGTAAATTGAGAGATTTGTTGTTATTTAATTGATGGTAAAAAGAGAAAAAACGCTTGTCAAAATAAAAAGCTGGAAAAATTAAAAAGTTAAATAGAAAAAGAATTACAAGAACTATATTTCAACATATTATACTGACACTGAAACGGTGTTTACGCCCCCTAGAATTTAACAAAAAAAAGCCATAAATAAAATTTTTCTTAAATTGCAAATAATAAAAATAAATTTACGTGGTTCAGAATACGGAACAGCAAACCCAATAATAAATGCAACCCTTTCCGCAACAAAATCTTCAAGCATCATTGCATATTGAATAACAATACCTCCCATAGAATGGCCAATAATTACAATTTTTTGGACCTTTTGAGTAATAATAGATAGGTTTACATCTCCGAATCATTTTTTTCCTGGGACTTTCATTTATTCTTGGGGCTTTTTGTCTTTAATTTTGGATTTCTAACATTGTTTGAATCTGATACTTATGACAAAAGGGACTGTGATGCCAACGGAGGTTCACAGACACGTGTGCAATAGGTCATGAACCCAAACAAACTAAAAAATCCAAAAAGACAAGGCCCAAGAAAAAATGAAAGTAATAATTACCGGCTTTTGTTTATACAAAAGATGGATTGAATTGACGGCTTTGACCAAAAAATTTGCTTGAGAAATAATACAATCAAAATTATAAGCAGTTAATTCCTAAAAATTATTTAAAATAAATTTAAAAATATTTTTAAAAAAAAGTTACACTTCATTAAAATCAACAGCAAAAACATCAAAATGAAAGTTAGACATTCTATCCTCAGTTTTGTTTTGCAAAAGTGAACCAAGTGATCGAACTTGACGGCCAGAACCAGCATTTCCGGGGACAAATAAAATAGGAAAACCGCTTAGAAAATTAGTATGTCTAGAAAAATAAGAGAAATTATTAAAATTTAAATTTAAAAGAACCTAAAATTCTCAGCATAAATCCCTTCGCCATAAAGAAATAAAGAATACCTCTCATGTTCTACATTAATTTTCTAAAAAAAATTGGTAAAATTAAAACTAAAATAATTTTAAAAATACCATGTAATGCATTCTTCGCCACATAAATGTCATATCACACAAATTAAGATCATCAGATTTGAAAAATTGAACGAGAATATACAAAAAAATTGACAGTAAAGGAATACAAAAATAACTTGATATTCTACCCATTGTTTTATTCAAAAAAATATTAAAATACAAAACATTTTCTAAAAAATTAAAGAGAAAAAGAGGGAGCCCATTCCGCTACGAACGGGCTGTCACAAAAAACAAATACCTAATTTAAATTTACGCCTCAACCAGCTTTTTTTGGCATTTTGTTTTATTTTCGTTTATCGATTTGTCCATTTCTGAGATTTTTCTTCATTCATTCACATCATTTTAATTTTTTAATGCTTATGCCAACTCCCCATTTAAAGATTCTGTATAAAGATTGTAAGAGAAAAAGAGGCGAGCTTCGACATATGTTCAAAAAAAGCAGAACCGAATTAGCAGCTGAAAGATTGACGGTTTGATTGGAAATCCTTGAACCTCCTTAATTTTTTACATACTTTTTTAAACCTTAACTTGGGTAATTAAACCTAACATTAAATACATGTTTAGACATGTATTTTTTCAAAAAGTACCTCAAACTTTCGGGAAATTAAACCTCTAAAATATTATCCTCATTAATCATTTTTTAAGAAATATCAAACCCAAACTATGCGCGCCTCAAGTACTTCAACCACAGATACTGCTTCTGAGCCTTGCTCATCTTCAAGCTTAATCGATGAAAAGAAAAATGAAAAGAAAGTTCACAGATATAGTTAATTTTTAGATTTTAAAATTTTTTTAATTTAAAATTTCTAGATGTTGAGGTCATTGCTTCTGACAATCCAAAAAATGGACTGAATTTGAATAATGGAATAAGTTAGTTTTTATTTTCAGTTCCAAATACAAATTTTTATTTAGTCAAGCATCGAGACATTGCTCATTTGGTTTGTGTTGCTGTTAATAAAGCTAATCTTGTGCCATCACCTCATAAATATGTATATGAAGGACATTCTATTTTATACTCATCAGCTGAATTGCAAATGGTTTTCCGTTAATTTTTCGCTCTTTCTAATTTATTAATTATTAAGTGTGATCCCATTTCTGTTTCTTATTCCGAAGTAAGCGAATCAATTCAAAATGCATTTGGCAAGAAGGCAAAATTCCATGTATGTTTGTGTTTCGTAAAATTTACTTTTTCTTTGCAAATTTAGGTGATTATCAAGCCGTGTCAGACAGAGGAACATATTATGAATCTAAATGACTTAAATCAGTGTGAGACAGAGGATACCCTACCTGTACAAGAAGATCGATCTTTACCTACTTTTTTCGAATTTGATATTGCTCAAAAAACCTTACAAAGGTTATAGAGAATAAAATTTATTTGAATTGTGCAATTTTCTTTGGCCTTAACTAACAATAAGTAAACTTTAAAATCGCCCCAATCAAAAATCTCCCAGTAAGTTTTAGTCGTATTATTTACTTTGGTCTAGGAATTTTTCATTGCTTTACATATCTCTACAAAATATTAACTTGCTTATCCTTTATAATTGCTGATCCTCATGGTTAATATGATGCTTTTTGGAATTATCTACGTGACACGATTCTGGTGGATTTTGATTCTGTATGCGATCTAGTTTTACGATTATAAGATAAAAGTTGACTATTTGAACTCATGTTAGTACGTTCTGGATTTTGTCGAGGCTTGTTATCTGTCATGTTAAAACAGTAAAAATCGATGAAGGAGAGATTGCTGCTGATTGGTCTGCTGCCGAATTAGAGCCCGGCGTGCACGGGATATTGCTACCGCAATCCCGCACTTATTTTGATTTGCGGGCTCTATCCCGCGGGATCCCGTCCCAAAAAATTTTTTTAGAAAAAGTCCCGCATGTGGGATCTCGTAAACACAATTTTGCCTGTAATTAAATTTAGATTTTTTTTTGAAATTTTTGCGGTAGTTGGGAATTAATTGTCTGGAAAAATAAAAAACGCCCAAACATGATCTGATTTTGTTTTTAGGTTTCATAAATACTTAAATATTTAACAATGCCATCAATTGGAACAAAACCAGCTCCACCGCCAAAGCCAGAAGCTTTGACTGTTGCAGATGATGATTGGGAAACAGACCCGAGCTTCATAGTTTTTTTAGAAATAATTATTTTTTGAATCCTCAAAATTTAGAATGATTTAAGTGAGAAGGAGAGTCGTTGGGGATCAAAAACTGTAGAAGGCTCAGGTCATCAAGATTCCATAAAGTTGGATATGTTGAGGAACGAAGTCCTTGAAAATGATGAGAAAAATAAGGTTGGTTAAATTTTGGGGTAGATAACTAACTTCATCCTTATTCAGCAAAAGAAATTGGAACTTATGCCAAAACCAAGTCAAGGTTATGGAGGAAAATTTGGCGTGGAGACTGACAGAATTGATAAGGTTAATGAATTGATTTTTTTGTTTTATAATTCTTTTTTAGTGTGCCGCCGGTTTCGATTACAAAGGAAAAGTTGAACCGCATCCATCACAGAAGGATTATTCACGTGGATTTGGAGGGACATTTGGTGTTGAAGCAGACCGAGTTGATAAATCTGCTCTTGGTTGGGATAGTCGCGAGCAGTTGCAACAACATGAAAGCCAGAAAGGTTTTTTGTTTTTTTATTATTTTTCTTTCATATTTCTTTAATTTAGACTACAAAAAGGGGTTTGGTGGACAATTTGGTGTTCAATCTGATCGAAAAGACAAGTCAGCTGCCGGTTGGGAAGATCATGAGCAATTACAGAAGCATGAAAGTCAAAAAGGTTTCTATGATAAAGATTTATTTTAGATGAGTTTTTTTTTGTTTTTAGACTACAAAAAGGGATTTGGTGGCCAATTTGGAGTTCAACAAGATCGTCAGGATAAATCTGCCTTGGGTTGGGAACATCGTGAACAAACCGCAAAACACGTGAGCCAAACAGGTGTAAAAATCGTTTATTTAAAATTTAAAATTATTTTTTCTAGATTATAAAACAGGATTTGGAGGAAAATTTGGAGTACAAACTGACAGAAAAGATGCCTCAGCTGCTGGTTGGGAAGAGCACGGCCAGTTATCTAAACATGAAAGTCAAACAGGTACATGAATATCAAATTTCCAGACAAATTTATATTTATCCTTAAAAGACTACAAAAAGGGTTTTGGTGGCCAATTTGGAGTTCAAACCGATCGAAAAGATAAATCAGCGGCTGGATGGGAAGAACATGAAAAGGTGCCTAAACATGAAAGTCAAACAGGTTGAATGTCTAAACTTGTTTGTTTTTATATATTTTTCTTTAGATTACAAGAAGGGCTTTGGAGCTATGTCTAATGATAAAATAAATACTCAAAACAATGAAACGCAACAAACAGGTTTGCACATTTTTCTCAATTTTTATTTTCTTTTTTAGTTCCACGGCTTGGCAATTTACGCTCAAAATTTGAAAATCTAGCCTTACAAAATAAAAATCAGGTTCCTTTTTGATTAATATTGTAAAAAAAATAATTATTATAGAGCGCGGATAAGGTACGCGAGGAGCGAGAAAAACGTAAGCGAGAGGATGAGGAATTGCGTAAAAAACAAGCTGAAGATGAACAAAAACGTCAAGAGAAATTGGAGAAGCAATGGGCCGACACAGAAGGAAAAGAGCAAGTAATTGAAGAATCACCTAAACAAACAGTGCAGCAACATAATAAAATGCATACTTCAATTTGTTTTTCTTTAAGATTTTTCTTTTAATTCAAAAAATTCCTGACAGGTGTTCGACTTCCTTATGGTCAAGTAGACACTACAACACCTTTAAAAGATGAGCCTACTGAACAACCACCAACTGAACAACCACTACCTGAACATCAGCCTGTTCAGGTCTATTAATTAATTTAAATAGTTTCTCTCTTTTTAAGGTTTTGCCTACTGCAATTCATGGGGCATCTGCTACAGCCCACGCATTGCTTTCTGAATCACATAAAAGAAAATCTACAAATATGGATAATGAACAAGAGAAAGAACACCAGAATGTGGTTCAAGAAAATCTGCCTAAAGTGGATACAACAGTTTGTTTTTATTTATAAAATTTTGCGATAGATTAGGGATTCTTTAACCGTTGATGGGTTCGAACTAGATTTTTACATCGTTTTAGAGTCTAATAATAAGTATTTAAATTGTTCATTATCATCTAAAAAGGGCTTGATTTAAAAATTTTAAATAAATTTTATAATTATTCTAGCCTGTTGAACATTCTCCACCTGTTAATCATCAATATGAATTGCCGCCAAATTTAGAAGAAAATGAACCAATTCAGGAAACAAATAATACACCTCAACAATATTTGGAACAAAATCCTCCAACAGATCCAACTCCAACTAGAGGATTAACTGCTAGAGCTATTTATGAATATGATAAACAAGATGATGATGAAATTGGTAATTTTTTGATTTTATAAATCTTGTGCGGAATGATAATTGTGGTTGGTGACGAGGATGAGAATCTCAGAGAATCTAAGGGATAACCAAAGGTGTGTAGAGAATCTAATTGGAACATTATCCAAATTCTATAAATTTTCAACAAAGAATAATTGTTAATTGAAACAGACCCCATTTGGAAATATTTTTGTGAAATCTACCTAAAAATCATAATTTGAGTTATTAGACTTCCCTAAAAATCTTTTGATTTATGCTTAATTCTTAATTTATTTTTTTTAGGTTTTGATATAAACGATTTAATTACGGACATTGAACAAGTAAGTATATTATTAAAATTAAAAAAATAAATTGGAAATATATTCTTTTTAAGATTGATGTTGGTTGGTGGCGAGGATGGTGTAAAGGACAGCATGGATTATTTCCAGCTAATTATGTTGAATTAGTCAATCGTTGAATTAAATTAGAAATATTGCGTTTGCTTGAAATATTGGTGCTTTTAAAATTGTTATTTTTTTATTTTTAAATGATATTTTTTAAAAATTATTTGTAAAAAAAGGGATTTTTAGGTAAATTAATTTTAAGTAGAGACCTTCATACAATGCTTTTGAGATACATATGTTTTTGAATCTTGGAAAATCTAAAAAAAACCTTGATCTCGAACAGTAAGATTTTTTGTCTTGGTCATCTCTACTTTTTAAATTCTTTTGAATTTTTAAAAAATATTTTCATTTTCTAATTGACTTCTTAAATATTTTATTACCTAAAAATTCCATTCCCTGATTATAATTTTTTTAATATTAAAATATATTTCTTAAATTAAGTACTTATTTTGCGAACTTATCCCAATATTATTTATACTTTTAATATATTTTTTAATAATCGCAAAATTATTAATTAATTTAGCAAAATATTTAATATAATGATAAATTTTAATTATTTAATTTTTTTGTTTTATCTTTATTCTGTTCAATACCAGAAAATTATTTTTTTATTTTATAATTAATTTTCAAAAAAATTTTTTTAGAAAATTTTTATTTGATGTGAGAGAATTAAAGAAATTTATTTTATTTTTTCTTCAAATAATGCTTAAACGTTCACTACAATACTTGGCTGATTTAAAAAGTATTTACAAATTGGAAAGATTAAGATTAAAAAGGAAAAGAATGGGGACTGGTTCAAATATTGTTAAATTGGATCCGGAAAGTAAAGAAAAAATATTTTTTTTAATTTAATAAAAAAATTTTCTTTAGGTAATGCGGAATGGTTTAAAGCTGTGCATGGGGCTGTTGAATGTTTAAAAAGTGGAGGTGTTATTGCTGTTCCTACAGATACTTTATATGGTCTTTGTACTTTGGCAGAAAATGCGGATAGACTTTATAAATTAAAAAGGAGACCAAAAGGAAAACCTTTGGGGATTTTTGTTAATGAAGGAGAGGATGTTTTTAAGTATATTTTTTTAAATATTTTAATTTGCATTGGTTATTGGAATTCTTTAAAGACACCGTCCAGTTTTAGTTACCTGACTAAGGAGGCAGCAATTAACTATTTTAAGAGTCTTCCCTCTACATTCATCCTTTCTCAAAATAGGGATGTCGGTAACAACAAATTTTTTGGTTATCCTAAAATCTTAAACTATTTGGTTCGGCCCATGTTCCCTTTTTTACTCATTTAAGTTCAACTTATCATTTTTCTAATTTTTAGTTATGCTGAAAGAACAGTTCCCTATGGAATTATTAAAAGTTTATTGCCCGGTCCAGTTACTTTAGTTTTCAATCGTTCCCAAAAACTTCCTTCAAATTTTAATATTGGCACTCAATCTGTTGGATTCAGAGTTCCTCAGGCTCGTTTTGTCCGTGATATTTGTCGATTTTTACCTTACCGTTTGATTGCTCAAACGAGTGCAAATGTTAGTGGAACAGATTTAAATCCAATTAAAATTGAGGTAAATATAAGGATTTACTTTTTTTAAAAATAATTTTTTAAAGGATTTTCAAGATTTATGGGACGAAATTGATATGATAATTGATGGAGGAACGATTTTAGAGAACAATATGTCTCGTTTGGGAAGTACAGTAATTGATCTCTCTTTGCCAGGGCAATTTAAAATATTGAGAGTTGGATGGTGAGTTTATTTTATTATTTAAAATCTTTTCAAGGTTTGAGTTTAATGTTCGGAAACCGGTTTAGGAGTCATTAAGAATTAATTTTTCTCGGTTATCTGATTCCGTCTTTTATAACCTTTCAGAATTGGAATTCTCGAAAGGCCAGTAGTCTTGATTTGCTAGGAATCTGGACTGTAGAACCGATCGATTTTTCAGAGCTGAGTAAGTGGGAGTCCTCATATATGAATTTTGTCTCTTCTACTTTAATTCTTCCAAAAATTAGAAACTCTTCATTTTAAGTGCTGAACAAGAAACAACAAAAATTTTACGTGAATATGGCCTGAAATCATTTGAAGAAGTTCAAAGAGAAAAAATAGAAGCTGATGCCAAAGAAGGAACGACACCTTTAATTGATTTTGAAGAGAAAGACAATGACGAAATTGAAGATTTGAGGCCAGAAAGATTAGTAGGAAACAAATAAATTTTGTTTATATGTACAGTTGGACCTTATAACAATCTCTCTTTAATTAGAGAGATTGACTAATTAAACCCAATATCATTAGAGATTGAACTCGATAATTGACCGTTATGTCGTATCGGTCTGGTCTCTATCAGATAGACCTTATTTTAAGTTAAGGTTTTTAAATTTGGTTGGTGAGGGAGAGCTAAGAGATATTCATCACAGTGGTGATGTACTCGATTTAGGATAATTTTTTCAAGGGGATCCCTTTTTAGTAAGGTCTGACTCAATATTTTTGAAATTGTTATTTCTTCGAAAATTGTATTTTAAAATTTTAGGGAATCTTTTAATTTTAATAAAATTTGAGGAAAATAAGAAAAGAGATTGTGATTGTTAGGTCGCTTAAGTTATTAATTAAGACAAATGAAAACTTTATACATAAAAAGAATGGAATAAAATGATTTAGTTTATACCTGATCAAAGATAAATTTGGGTCCGACTGGGTTTTTGTAGAATTTTAAAGTATTCAATGAGTTTCAAACCCATAATGAATTAGTTAATATCAAAATAATATTACATCGCTCGGTCATATTTATTCATAATAAAGACGAACACGAGATGTGGAAACCAAAAAGTCATCGTCAAAAAAGCTTGTTTCGATTACAATATTGCCACTAAATTAATAGCAGCTTTTTTAAATTAAATGTTTTTATTACCTTAGTAAGGAAGCAGGTAACATTTGTCCTTCGGGGGCTGCTTCTATTAATGTCTAGAAAATGTGGAAAAAGAATTTGTGTTTTGATTTTGATATTTTCTAGGTTGCTCAAGATAGGAAATTTTCAAAAATCAAAATTTTGAGTCAATGTGAACAAACCCCTACTACATAGATGTTTTCTTACAATCAACCCCCATAATGATACACACAACATTGCCCCATCTCGTTCACTTCTAATGAGTATGATACTCCAATTTATTTGTTAGTGTAACTCTCATTATATGATATATGAAATCCATTTCAACCCCAAAGAGATATAGTATTCTAGTTATTAATACCTGCCAAGTATTAGTTGATTGTGGAATAACTAATAAAAAAAATTAAATTATTTTCGTCAATAGAAATTCCCTAACCAAATCCAAAATCAAAATACCATTCTTCAATCGCTCGATTATTAAGGAATACACGTTGTTCCAATCGAAATTTTTCGATTTTTCTTTCCGACGTAAAATTAATTTCGCGGGAAACAGATTTACATTTTAAAATATTTTTAGGAATTTTGGCTAAAAATTTGTTGAATTATTTTTAATATTTGGGCAATACCTTTATGTTCGAAATTCGGATTAGCTAAATCCTCGGTGCTTTGCCATAATATTTTACCGCTCTCAGCATCTCGTAAATTCATCCAATTTCTGAGTAGGAATTATTAATACAGATATGTAAAAGTTATCTAGGAGTTAATAACTAATAACTATCTGATAAGCTTTCTAAACTGATAAACGAATTTTTGAATTCATTATAAGATAACACTTGGGGTTAAAAATTGTATTTAATGAGGGGTACCTTAAATCGAGGGTATCGATTAAGCAACTCTCCTACCCAATAACCACCAAATTGAAAAATTTTATAATGAAGAATTATCTACTAATTGCAAAAGTTTTTATCCTTAGGGTTTTTTTATTATTTTCTTCCTACAAAAATTCCCCAAATATATTTATTTATTATTTACAATTTAAATCCAATGCCTTCCTTTTCATCAAAATTATTTTTAATATTATCAGAAAAACTTTCACAACTACTTTCACTACTTCCAGCAATTGGCTGTTTTGAACGAATTTGTTGTTGCTGTTTTTTCTGTTGTGTATTACTGCTACGCTGTTTTGTTGTTTCTGTTGATTTTTGTTTTTGTTGTTCTTTATTTGTTGTTGTGGAAGTAGTTTTTGATATTTCAGCAACTTTTACTGATTTTGCAGCCATTTTTTTTAAATTTTTTAATGGCAAAATTAAAAGAAGAGAAAAACGAAATAATAAAATTTTTATTGTCTTCTCAATACTTTTTCTTCTTTTTTTTATGGTTGCTAGGCACCGAACGCCAACACGCATAGTTTTATAGTTTTCCTAATATGAACGTAAAAAAATATGTATTTTTTAAATCCTAGTATCCACGCATTAATTATCTGTGCTCTTTTAATTTTTAATGAAGGAAAAATAGAAAACTCAAATGAATAAAAATTGAAAGAAAAAATTTAAATAAAAAACTAAATTAAATAAAAGATTAATTAATGAACTAAACTAAAGGCTACCAGATCGAAGCTAAAGTAAGCAGCTGGGTTTTTTCTATTTCTCTCCTTTGCTAGTGCAAAAGGTTATTCGGCGGTTGGGAGCGAACCAGCATCTTCAGTAGACCGGACTGATGTGTTAGCCATTACACCACGCCGCCTACTGTACAGCCTTAGAAAGGTAAATGTCCAGTTGGCGGTCTACATGTCCGCAAAGAGAATCTGCTCTTTTCTTTCCTTTACTTGCATTTTTTGCGTTGGGAGAAGTGCTCCACTCATTTTTCCTTTTCTTCCATTTTTCCTTCTTAATACAGTATGTTTTCCTGTTCATACTTGAAAACTAAAAATACCTCTAATTAGAAAAAAATTTTTACAAATCATAGATTTAGATTTACAAACAGTAGATCTATGGCTTTCTAATAAGCCCAAAATAATGATCTAAAAAATTTCAAAATAATATTTAAGGAGACATAACCTGTTCTACGTTGAATTTCTTGTTTCAGGATATCGATATTGAGTAAAAACATGGGCCGAGTTTTTACATCCATCCTCCCCCTCATAGTTTTTATTAGAGCTCTAACCCGGGCCGGGACCGAGTTTTCCGGGCCCGGTATTTATTTATTTTACCGGGTATTTTGTAAAATAAATAATTTTTTTCTAATTAGGGTATTTTATTTTTCAAGTATGAACAGGAAAACATACCGTATTGAGAAGAAAAAATGGCAGAAAAGGAAAAATGAGTGGAGCACTTCTCCCAACGCAAAAAATGCAAGAAAAGGAAAGAAAAGAGCAGATTCTCTTTGCGGACATGTAGACCGCCAACTGGACATTTACCCCTTAGAAATTAAGGCTGTTCTATATGCTTTACACTAATATCTGACTTGACCATTCCCATGAGATGTCTTGCTGGAATTTTTCAAATATCAATTTTTTTGCAAAATATCAATTACAGTAATAAATCTTGATTTTTTCAAAATCTCAAAGTATAAAAATGTCATCATTGACTAAATTTATTTTTTGATTTTTCTTTCTTTTTTAAAATTTTCATTTTTTTACCTGTACTTAACCCCTTAAATTTATTTTATTAGTTTAGAATGGGGGAGGAAACACCAGTTTTTGTGCCAAGTGTTGAATTAAATTCTCTTCATAAAATGCCTAGAATTGGATTTGGAACTTGGCTTTTAAAACCAGAAAATGTTGGAAATATAATTAAAAATGCTATTAAATGTGGGTATCGACATTTTGATTGTGCTTTTGTTTATGGAAATCAGAGGGAAATTGGGAAGGCTTTAAATGAAGTTTTTCAAGAAGGAATTGTTAAGGTTATTTTATAGTAAATATTTTTCTTGTATTCGATTATATCTCCCTCATATTCTTCTTGGTTAACTTAAAATTTTTATGGGAATCTCTCTTGCACAGAATTATGGTACACAGAGATCGGCAATATCACATTTCCGGGATCCCGTAACGGGATTGAGATTGAAAAGTTCGGCGGGTGGGATTCCGCGGGATTAATTCTGAAGTCTTGCTAATCCCATTCGTCGCTATAAAACCCGGAATTTCGGGAGGGATCCCGTAAATCCCGCCCGGGATTCCTCCCGTGCCGATCTCTAGGTACAAACAATACCGTTCTTTAAAGTAAAGCCCTTTACTTATCGGCATTGATTTTCTTGACCATTATTTGCTCATATTTTAAAAAGAAAAAAAAGGAAATTGGGGAGATAATCGGATATTAGATATTTTTAAAAATAAATTTTAGAGAGAAGAATTGTTTATTACAAGCAAAGTTTGGAATACTTTTCATAGTCACAAAAGGGCTTTGAAAAATATTGACATGATTTTGAATGAATTGGGAATTGAGTAAGGAATTTATTAAAATTGTTATTGACTTTCTTTTCTAGTTATTTGGATCTTTGTTTAATTCATTGGCCAATGGGTTATAAAGAAGGAGAAGATTTATTTCCAAAAGTTGATAATAAAATTTTGTTGTCAGATGTGGATTTTATGGAAACTTGGGGGGCTTTGGAAGAAGCTGTTTTCAAAGAAAAAGTTCGGTCAATTGGATTGTCTAATTTTAATACTAAACAAATACAAAAAGTTATTAGTAATTGTAGAATACGTCCAGCTGTTTTACAGGTTTCTTTTTGGCATTTCAATAAATTGAGGTTATTTAAGCTATAAGAAGAGGCAACCCGCATTCGAGGTTTTACGCAGCTGCAATTTGAAGTTGTAGAGACAGTCCTATTACATATGTATAAGGAGCTGTAAAAAAACTTTTATTGCTCAGGAGAATTCCTCTGCTATTTTAAAATAGAAATTGGCATGGATGTGTATTTAAATCCTTAATTTTTCGGAGATCGTATTTTTTGCCGAGAATGGGGAAATATCTTTCATTTAAGGGTTTTGTCCACAAAATTATCAGAAAATTATTTTTTAATATTTAAAAAAATCTTTTTAGACAGAAATTCATGTTTATTTCCAACAAGACGAATTATTTAAATTTTGTAAAGTCAATGGAATTAATGTTATTGCCTCTTGTCCTCTTGCCTCGTCAAACGAAAATCCTTTTCGAAAGAGTGATTATCCTTCTGTTTTTAATGATCCAGTTATTAAGAAAATTGCTGATGAACTTGGACAGGTTTAATTTTTATAACTGACTTGACAGTTACTCGCCTGGGGTGTAGGCTAAATTGTATAGAGATTTTATGTATGTTTTTCTATCCAGTGGCCAAGAAAACAAAAAAAACATACTAATTTTGGGATTGTCTAATTCTGTGGGTCCCCTAGTATTTTATTCACATTTAAAACACAAAAAAAAAACATTTTTCTATTTTTCAGACAAATGCCCAAGTTGCATTACATTATTTAATTCAAAAAGGACTTTCAGTTATTCCAAAATCTTCAAATGAGGAAAGAATGAATGAAAATATAAGAATTATTAGATTTTTGTTAAATGATGAACAGATGGAAAAAATGAATAAACTTGATACTAGAAAGAGAATTATTCATTTAGAATTGAGTTGTCATTCTCCTTTATATCCTTGGAAGTGAATGAAAGAAAGAAAAAAGAATTTTATTTAATGCATCGGTTTGTGCCTTTTCCTAAAATATTCACTTAATATTTTTTCGTTAAAAAATTTTTTTAAATTAAAATTGCCCCATAGTTATTATTGTAATTTATTGTCATTACTTCGGTATATAGAATAAATATGTCTTTATTTTAGAAAAAGGAGGAAATCAAGAAGTGTTTTAATAATAAAGGGGTAACAAGTTAAGGGGTTAAGGTAATAAAAGGGGTAAATCGTTCCCAATCAAAGCTAAATTTTTTTCAATTTAAGAAATCAAAAGGTCCCGTTTTTTCTGAAACTGGAAAAATACTGATTTAATTTCGATATGTGAAATAAACCGAATCAAATTTAAAAAATGAAAAGTTTTATCAAAAATTCCTATTTATTTTACATTTAAATTTTCATTTTTAATAAATTCTTGTAAATACAAGGCAAAATCAAAAAGCTCTTTTTCATATTCTTTAGTTTCTTGATTTGCAGTAGGATTTGGAGTTTGGCAAGAAATATTATTTCTTTTTAAAAATTTTTGCAGCCAACCTTCACTCGCCTTTAAAAAATATTTTTTTTTATTTTAAAAATAAAATTTTAACCTCAAAACATTCTGGATAATTTGAAGACATTTGGCTTGCCTGCATTTTAATTATTCTTCGAGAAAGTTTTTCTCCTTTTAATTGTTTTTCTTTAATCCATTCTAATAAATTTTTTTCAAATTCTACATTGTGGATATGACGCCCAGCTCCCGTTAATCGTCGCTTTTGAATGTGTAATGGAGTCGAATTTCTAAAATTATATTTTGGCAGTGACTAATAAGTGGATGTTGTAAATAGACATTTAAAGTGTGTGTTTTGAGGGATCTTTTGGTATAGAGGTTGCAAAATTTGATGCTAAATACTTTGAACTTAAACTTTGGTTAAGGGGAGGACTTCAAGTCCGATCGTCAATTACGTCATTTCAATCTATTCTGAATTATCTAATCGACTGGAATGAAGTGTAAGTCCCCAAAACAATGAAAACATTCAAGAAAATTATTTAAAAAAACAGCAAACCTTAATTCTTTAAGTTTATCAGCTTGTTGCGTCCAATCACGTATTCGTCTTCTATCCACACTAAATTGCCTGCACGCTTCCGAAGCATTGTGATTTTTAGCGAATTCAACAACTTCTAATTTAAAGTCAACAGTATAAGATTTTTTCTTTTTGATTGAAGCAGTCTTCTCATCATTCTGTTTATCCTCAGTTTCAGCCATTATAATTCTACAAATTTACCGAAAAAAATTTTTTTTATTTTTAACAGCTGAAATAAAAGAAAAATATTTTTAAAATTGCGGGTAGATGTTAATCTTTGGCGAAATGTTTAAAAAGAATTAGAGAAACAGTGTAGAGGAAAAGAATTAAAGAAATTAAACATGCTAGATTGTTCTTTTTCTTCGTTGTTTCTCATGTTTCTTTTCATTTTTATTTCCATATGATATTTGGTTAAAGTCAGCGTCCCTCTATTTATTTATTTTTTTTATAGAATAACGTGTTTTAAACATTTTTTGATTTATAGATTACTCATTAAATCGAATTTTTTTAACTTTACTTGAAAAAATGGTTAAAAGTATGAATTGGACGTATAAAGAAGAGAATAAGTTTGAGAAGCGCCGTGCTGAGGGCGAGAAGATCAAACGTAAATATCCGGATCGGATTCCTGTTATTGTTGAGAAGGTTTGTTGTTTTTCAATATATTTTTAAATTACGTTAAATTAAGGCGCCGAAATCTCGCTTACGTGATCTGGATAAGAAAAAGTACTTGGTTCCGTCGGAGCTTACTGTTGGGCAATTCTACTTCTTAATCCATAAAAGGTATTTTCCTAGCTATTTTTCTTTTAACATTTGGTTTATTAGATGTTTTACCGTTTTTTAGACGGGGTTATCTCACTTTTTCTTCTAACCTTAACCGACTATAGATTTTAGAATTAATGTCAATTATTAATTAAGACCGGAAATTTGGCTTCTAGCCTTCTTCCCACAGTTCATTTGCTAATAGGTCACCTTCTCTTTTCTTTATATTTCCTTAGGCAAATATAAAAATTTATAGACGACTTTCTTCACATTTTTTTCTCATTGTGTCCTAGTTTCTCGACCCAAGCGTCGAAATCTTTGTCATGCAGTTATTTATAAATAAGGGAAATAAAGAAAAAATCGGTACAAGTCCAAAAGTCCAAACCAATTTTCCTTCCCTGACACGTCTATAAAATTAAATATTTTTTTCATTTTAAGGATTCATCTTCGTCCAGAAGAAACACTTTTCTTCTTTGTTAACACTCTTATACCGCAGGTTATTTTTATAGTTTAATTCTTTTAACCTTACATCAATTTTACAGACGATGACTACCATGGGACAACTGTATCAGGTTTTTTCTTATTTTTGGAGTAAATAATTTCTTGATTTCTAAAGGATCATCACGAAGAGGATCTCTTCCTCTACATAGCCTATAGCGATGAAAACGTCTATGGTGGAGAGGATGGTGGAGGAACACAAACCTGAATGGTTCATTTAAAGAATATTATGCTCGGTTTGGAGTAAAAGTAAAGAAACGATTTGTCCAAAAACAGCCTAACTCCCATTATTTTTAAAAAAATTAATTGGACTGTTTTTTATATAATTTCTTTTTGAACAGTTCATTTTTGATTAAATTCAGACGTATCCTCTCTTTTATAAATACATTTTTGGACATTTTATTATTAGTTTTTAGTTAGATACTCTTAGGTTAAACTTGAATTTAATTTACTAAAAAGGTTATTTTAGATTAGTTTTATAATAAAATGTCAACTTTTTTAAAACGATTTTCACATCAATTTATATGTAAATTAAATTAACAATACAATTGTTAATTTCTGTATTGTTGGGGTAATGCCTAGAATTATAACTGACGATTAGTCTGGCTTGTACCAATTTAAATTGGGGAGTAAGCAACCATATTTAATTGCAGACTGGGTCGGAGTTAAACTATTTTTACGAAAAAAATTCTTGGCATTGCCTTAGCATCCAAAAAACAATTAAACACAATATTTTCACGATTAAAATTTAAAGGATAAACTTTTCGAATGATTTTTTCTTTTATTTTTTTAAATCAAAAATAGAAATCGAAGATGCTCCGATTAATTATAGAAAAATGTTAAAATTTTATTTTTATGTATGTCACAATACAAGAATTACTTAAATATTCCCAGAATAATTATTTTAATTTCCCTATAACATTAAAATATTCCTTTAAGCTTTTGCCTTCCAATTTGCAATAACATCCTTCGCCGATTGACTACTCTAAATTTAAGTTTAAAATTATTTAAATAAAATTTTTGATACCTGAACTTCAGCTCTCCCATTTCGAGTAATTATATCTCCATTCGATTTAACAATAATAAGTTCTGGAACGCCGCTCACATCATACTTTTTGACCAAGACACTGAAAAATTATCAAGTTTTTTCTAAATTGGTTGGTCTTAAAATAAGATATTACTACTAAAACTTAAAAATTCTCTTAAAACTAGGGTTGGTCCCCGACCCCGACTAACCCCGACCCCGACCCCGAACCCCGACATTTTTTGACCTAAAACCCCGACCCCGACATTCCCAACCCCGAAAACCCCGACCCCCGAAAGTTCGACCCCGACGACCCCGAACCCCGAAAAATTTTTATGCCCCCGACTCAAACTGCATTAATTAACTAGAGATCGGAACGGGATCGGGACTTTGATGCTAAATATATGAAGGAAAAGGGAAAGGAATATTTATATTTTCTCCTGTTTCCTTTTGTTGGTCGATGGTTGAGTGGTTAGGTTAACTGACTTCAGCCATCTAGCTATTTTGATAGGAATGTTGTTCGAATCCAGGGATGGAAATAAGGCTGAGAAAATTTTTCTTCTCAAAAATAAATACATATTTTTAAACTATGATCTTGATTTTAAATTTGCAAATTTATTTTTTTAAATATTTTACACTTGAAACAATATTAGAAATTTTAAACTAGTCATGAATTTTCCAAAATTTTCGCCTGCGGCGCAGAAAATTGAAGAAATCTGTCTCTTGGCCTTCCAAAATTCTAAAAATTTTCGCCTGCGGCGCAGAAATTGAAGAAATCTGTCTCTTGGCCTTTCAAAATTCTAAAAATTTTTGCCTGCGGCGCCGAAAATGGAAGAAATCTGGCTCTTGACCTTCCAAAATTCTCAAAATTTTTGCCTGCGGCGCCGAAAATGGAAGAAATCTGGCTCTTGACCTTCCAAAATTCTCAAAATTTTTGCCTGCGGCGCTAGACTCAATGAAGGGATACAGAGGCTTTAGGAGAAATTGATGGATAGATGGATTTCTCCCGTTATCCTTGCAACTCCCCGATATCCCGTCAAATCCTTCTAAATCCCATTATATCCATCTTAATCCTCTGATATGCCTTCATATCCCCCCAATCCCTTTACATAAGAAGTGGAGTAAGAGTTACCTTGTGGGTTTGGGGATTTTGGGGATTATGAAGGATAACTTGGATAAAGTACTTCTTGCGCCTTCAACTAATCACGAATTAGATACAGAAAGTGAAGATATTGAAGATTAAGTTGATTTTTTAATAAAAATGTTGATTTTGTACAGTAATTTTGGATAAAAATGCTGGATTTTGTAAATTTTCACTTCAACCCCGACCCCGACCCCGAACCCCGACATTATTTTCAGCCCCGACCCCGACCCCGAACAATTTGAGCAACCCCGACCCCGACTTTGTCAACCCCGAAAACCCCGACCCCCGACTTTTCCAACCCCGAAGGCTCGGGGACCAACCCTACTTAAAACCAACCTAATATTGCTGCTGCCAAACGGAATATATAACCAATTTCCATGCGATTCATCCAAATAATTTTTAAGATCCCCTTCAGAACGATCAAAAGAAACAAAAACAATTTCAAAATTTTCACCACTAGCTTTTGCCTGATCATAAAATTCCTTAAGTACTGGAGTGAAGGCTCTACATGGAGGGCACCAATGAGCAGAAAAATAAATTGCTGTCAGTTTCCCCTAAAAAATTAATTTTTTAAAATTTTATATTTAAAAATACCTCAAGTTCTTGTCCTCCATTAATTAATTGATGCTCTTGATTTTTGCAAACACCAATATCTTTAAATAATTCAGACATTCCTTCATCCCTGCTTATTAAAAATCACTAAATTTTCTTCCCAAAATTTAAGAATAAAATAAAATTAAAAATTAACAAATTTTAAATTATTCATTGAAAGAAAATTATCTTTACTTTTTAAATATCAAATAAACAAAAATACTCTGTACACGTATTAGTACAGCCATAACAACCAAAAAACAAAAAGAAAACAAGAATTCATTAAAAATAAAAAAATTATTAAAGTGTAATAGTGAAAAATATTTTTATTTTACTCGCCAAATTACGAGAGACAAAAAACCATTTATAAAAATAATGACTTATCATTTTTCGTAATCTAAAAAATTTTATTAATGAGAAAAATAATACTACTAAATACGTTTTAACGAATAAATAAAATAAAAATTATTTTTAATTAATTAGTTACCATAGAAATTAAAAAAGTCATAAAAACATCTACAAAATTTAATTTTTTTTTAAATTTTAAGAAATCTCAAGGCGAAATTGAAGAAAGTCTTAAACGTCGCGCAGTTTGTGGAACAGTCCTTATCTCTATTTCTATTAAACAATTATTCCTCTCTTCCTTTGAAGGCAATTCTATTTGTCTTCCTAATTAAATTAAATAAATTTAAAAAAAACTAAATGGAGAGTTTACTTGGCTAAAATTATCTAATTATCCTATTTAGGCAGCCTAATACTTTTCCCTCTAAAATACTGTTCGGGTCGAAAATGTTTTAAACCGAGGAATATCTAAATTATGGAAGTATCTCTCCAAACCACTAATCAACCCCCTCCTTTTAAAAATCAAATTAAATATTTACTTGTTATAGCTGTATTTTGTCCAAGATTTGTCGAATATTGTCGAATAAATTCAAAAAGAGTTTGCCTAACTTCGTAATCGATTTTCAACAAATTAGTAAAATCCAAATTAGTTAACAATAATTGCAAATAAATTAGTCGAAAGAAAGGCTCTGGATGTGAAAATTTGAATAATTGTCTTAAAAATATATTTTTTTATTTAAAAATAAAATTAAAAGAAACCCTTTCGAGACAGGTCCTCTATTAGGTAAATGAATAACTAACAAAAAATATAATTCAGTTTCCTCTAAAAGTCTCCAACGATCATCCCAATAAAATTCTGCAGGAATATCCTTCTAAAATTGAAAAAATAATATAAATAGAGAAAATATTCATTATTTAATATATGACTTTTTTCGATAAAAGGTATAAAAGCTTAAAAAGGTCACTCGGTTTGATTAGTTAAATTACTCCCTAGTTCACCCGAAAGAGAGGGGAGAAAGGATGCATACCAATGTATCACAAGCCCAGTCTAACACAGAAATATAACAAATGTAAAGCTTCGATTTGCTACTACACAAGCAACCTGACGAAATACGCCGAGGTAATGACAAAACTGACACGATCCGTCTTTTATATAAGTAGTTTAAGAAAAAGTAAGTTTACATAAAAATTATGAGGCGCTTAAAAGTATAAGGAAAAATCGAGACTTCAGAAAATTCTCAAAATTACAGGGAGATCTAAAAGTAAATGAATGTTAAAAATAGGAGAGGTTTTCTCCTTGATAATAATTATTAATAAAAACAAACAGTTTCCAAAGCATCATAATTTGGCGAATCAGCCTCAAGTTTCATTTGATTAGCAAAATCAACTTCATTAATAAAATGTGCACGTAGAAAAGCAGAATCAGCCTCCACATTTGCTAAACACCATTTTTTCATTTCCTGAGTTTTTAAAAGAGAAGAAGCTGAAGATCTCTGTTTTGGATTAACAGTCAAAAGATGATCATTCAGAAAAAGTTTTAATTCTTCTCCTCCACTTTTAACTAAACGAGAACGTAATTGAAGCATATCAACAGTAAGCCAAATGAATGGAAGTTGTTCTTCATGCATTATTAAAGCAAAATTCTTATGTAACTTTTGGCATTGCTCATCTGGGAAGTAAGAGACCATATGCAAAATTAAAACACCTAGAGACCACATATCGGCAGAATAGCTATATTCTGCCTCTGAACGTTGATGTTCACACCATAGTTCGAGATTTAATTGCTAAAAAGAATTAAAAAATTAATTTCAAGTCTATTAAATGACAAGGGCCTTTTCACGAACTGTCCCAAAATATTCTAAAATTTATTGTCCCAATGAAATTTATTGTTCAAAAATTTTGACTCCGTGCATTTCTGACCCAAAATCATTATATCCGCTAATATATAGTGATTGAAACATCCCCCTTGTTATCAAGGGAAAGTTCTAGATGAAATAAGCAAACTTTAGTAGTTCACTGTTACAAATTAAAAAATACCTTTTCAATACACATAAATTCCTCACGTCCAACGGGCGTTTTGCATTGTCCCAATTCTCTAAGTAATTCATTGTCTTCGTCATTTACTTCTTCAAATAATGCCTTAGATTGAGAAAAATGGCCAAGTTTTACAGTAGCTCCCCGAGTCAAGAAAATATTTTCGGGTTGAACATCTCTATGAATAATTCCGATTTTTTGCAAAAAATCCAGTCCCAAACAAATTTGACGCAAAATTTTGGCAATTATTGAAATTGGAATAGGCTAGAAAATAAAAATTCAAAAATTATTTTAAAACAACCTCCGATTGTCTTAATCGTTTGTACATCAAAACAATATCTTTGAGCACATAAAGACGTGGAAGGACAATATGCAAATCACCGTCAGATATAAATGCAGAGTGTAAATGCATAATATTGGCATGTCGGCACCTTTAAAGTTAATATGTATAATTAGGATTTGAGGTGTTTCCATTACTTAACTTAATGGAAACTTAAAAGAACAGCTTAATTAATCCAATAGGAAAAAAAGGCGAAAACGAAAAGGCGAATTCTTCTCGAATTCCGACTCAAGAACAGTCCCAAAACAAAATAAACTTTTGTAAAATACCTGCTGAGAACAAACATTTCCATCATTAACCGTTGATAGAAATGAAAAAGTTTTGGCGAAACATTCTTACTAAAATTCCCAGCATGTCTTTGAATGTCTAATTGTCCTTGAGAATTTTCCAATTCATCATCTTTCAGAATGTCTTCAAATATTCGTTGTAAATAAATTGTTTTAATTACACAGGTACGAGTTTCAAATCCATCCAAACCAAATGAATAATCACTTGCTTCAGCAAAACGAATAACTCCAAAGGTCCCTCGTTGAATTGTCTCACCTTTAAAAGAAAATTTATTTAAAAAAAAGGGAGTGAAGTTTTGGATTTAAAAATAACTGATAAAGGATTTAAACATAATCTTTCCAAAGGGAAGCTTAAGGCGCCCCTCCCTACACCCCAGGAAAAAGATTAACGTTTAAAACCCACACAAAACTAACTTTTTGCATAATTAGCTGGATTTGTTGGCCATTCATCACGCACATCAACTGCACAAGTCTTAATCATTTCTTTAATAGTAATCAAATGGTCATTAGTTGAAAACATTTTTCTATCAAAAAATAATTAAAAATTAGTAAAATCTTAAAAAATAATTTTTTGAGATATTTAAATCTCTTTTTAAACAAAAATTTTTTTTCAGGATTTTTATTCTTTGGCAATGTAAAAATTGTGGAAATACAAAATAACAACCATAATAATATTATGAATATATTTATAAATACTGGAATGTAAAATATTTTGCCATTTTTTTGTAAATATTTAAAATATTTGGAACTCACACATAACAATATTAAATAATATATTACTAAATAAATAGAGTATAATAAAGAGAAAAAGGGTGTAACAAGAGGAAATTTTTTTCATAAAACAGGGATAACATAAGAAATTAAAATCATGCTTTTCTCTTTTCGAAAATTTTTTCTACATAAAAAAGAAAATCTTTCTTTTGGAAAAAAATTTTTTTCTGAGGTGACATTTCGTCCCAAAATTCTCTTGTTTCACCCTTTTATAAAATATACGGAGAGATATAGGATATATCAAGTACAATCTTTTTTTAAGAAGTTTTTTAAGAAAAATAGAGGTAATATATAATATCAGTAAAATATACCAAAATAAATCAGAAAAATAAGAGAGGAGAGTTTCTTGCCAGAAGCGAGCAATGAGAGATTTAAAAAAGTAGAAATAATTTGGCAGTTCCGGTTTGCGTTTTTTGGTATATAACATTATATTTAAATATCTTCACTTTTGCAGCGGACAGAACTTAAGAGTGTGCGCCTTTTTGCCAGTAGCAAAGCAGAGAGGGCACATCAGCTTACGCAGTTGAGGACAACTTGAAATTAGTAAAAATAGAATTTTATCCAAAATAAAAAATATATACACAACATTCCCGTCATCATCTTTGGTATAGTGTCCAACCCAAAAGCCAGGATCAGTTGCACGAGGAAATGGCAAGCCCAGAGTTTGACGAAGACGTTTGTATTGAATGTAGCAGAACCCACAAGTCTTTTCAGGCTAATTTAAAAAATAATAAAAAATTTCTAAATTCAAACCAGCTTCTTCCAAGTCCCAATTTTCATTTCCACAGTAGAATTCTCCTTTGCAATTTCAGCAGATGTGTTCACGCTACTTCCACTATATCCACTCGAAGAGCTCATACTCGATGATAATTTGCGCGGTTGATGATCGACTGGTTGATGGTCTTCGTCGAATCCCAAAGGCACCATAAGACGTGGATCTTCCGGAAGGCTGTCGTCGCTCCAAAGTTTGAGGTTGTTAAAGTTGTCTAATTGATGGCGAGAGATGTCTCCTTCCGGAACTGGCATCTATAAACGGGTGAGGGTAAATTGAGCTAAACAAAACTAAAGGATTTCGATAGTCTAAATAAGGGTATGAATTCCCGTCAAAAATCTGGATCGAAAATAAACAAAAAATCGAGCTGGACCTGTCAAAATCAACACCTTATAACGCCCTTAAACCCAAAGTAAAAACATTTGAATTACAAATTTTTCCTTACCATCCAAATTCGTAAACGAGACATTCCACCTGTAGTAGTAACCGTTGCCATCACAAGATAGGAAATCAGAAATGGTAGTATGTTTTTGAAAAATTGTCTAAAAATTAAAATTTTTTATGGCAGTGTTGTTGTGCTTTATTTTAAATTTAAAACCTCATCTCATCTAAAAAAATAAATTAAGACAAAATAACTTTTAAAATAACAACAAAATAATTTTAAAAATTTATCAAAAATGTTTACAAAATTATAAACATGAGAATCTATATAGTCTAATATTCTATTAATATAGGTAGGTATTTTATTTTCATTTTAAAACTAAATCAAAAATTGTCTTATTTGCAATGTTTCTTCAAAAGAGCTTTAGCTTCAGTAACCATACTCGGTTCTTGCTCATTCTCGTTTTGTTGGTAAGAGTCCACAGCACGTTGCAAATATTTAATTGCAGTCTCTTTGTCTTTCTTGAGCAGATAAGTTTTGCCCAAAAAGAAGAGATTGTCTAACCAGTCCGGCTGAAGAGCCAAAACAGCAAGAAAATCCTTAAAATGTAAAATATTTAATTTTAAGAAAGGGGGGGGGTTCTTTAATGGAGGTTTCATGAGGCCTCCTTATGGTTTCTTGAAGCCTTGTGATTTAGGCCTTCTTCAAGGCCTAAATCTTCTACTTTAACCTTTAAATCTTACATCTATTGCTTCCTCAAAAGTCGCCTCAGGAGGTTTTGAATAGAAGGCAGCAGCCGCTTTACGTTCAAGCCAAGTAAGACTAGCAACAGAAAAAGCAAAACGGCCACGCATATGCAAAAGCTAAAAAATAAAGCAAAAAATTATTAAAACCCCCCAAAAATCCCTAACAGTATACTCCTCCGCATTCATAGTCAAAGCCTTGTCAAGCAATTCCTTAAATAAATTCCCTTGTTCAATCTTCTCTTTTGTACCCAAAAAGTCAGTTCTCGCTCCAGTCACAGCAGCAAAACACTTAATAACCTCAAAGTCTTCATTCTTAAGTTGATATGCCTTCTCAGCATATACATAACCTTCATCTAATAATTGCTTCTTTTTTGGGTCTTTATTGTCCAATGGAAAAGAAAGAAAATAACAAGAACGAGCTGAAATTTAGGATTTTTGAAAAATTTTAGATTTAGAAATTAAACCAAAACGCCAAAGAATTTCTGGATCCGAGTGGATATTGGTGTCGTCGACCTGGAATTGAGAGTTTAATTGAGGCTGTTAAAGATTGTGTTAGGGGCAAAGGCTTGTAGCTTCTCTCCTATACTAACATAAGAGTCAGCCCAGGCGTTCATTTTCCTAGATTTCAGGCTCCAACCAAGAAATAAAAAGTCGAAAATTAGTCCTGGCTCTGGCTTTTAAAAACAAACTCTTATTAAGGAGAATATTGGGGTTCACAATGAAAACTTTACTTTAGCCAAATGCTCATAGATTTGTTGATGTTTATTTTCATCATTAAGTTGATCAATACGAGATAACTAAAATATTTTTATTTTTATAAATTTAGAAGTAAAACTTACGTCCATTTTTAGAAAGTGAACAAAATATAAAATTAAAGTCAATAAAAATATTTGGAAGGAAATTAAAATTAATTAATTAGTCTTTAAAAATTATTTAACGTTTATTTAAAAAATGCGAAAAAGAAAAAATAAACAAAAAAAATTTTTTTTAATGTAAAAAGAAAAATAAACTTAGAAAAACCGAAATAAAGAAAAAAAGAAAAATAACACAATGCCAAACTCTCGACAATAAATTAATATTTAAATAAAATTACTGTACCTCTTTATTGAAATTTTTGATTCTAACTATTTTTAAGATTAGTAGTAAATATTTGTTAATTAAATTGATTTTTGATATGAAATCTAATTTTTTAAAATTAAATCAACATTAAATTTGTGTTTTAATTTGTCAACCAAATTTTGGCAAATAAATTGAGACTAATTTTGAATCGTGATATAAACAGAACAATAAACAAAACAAAAAAAACTACTTATTTTAAGTAAAAGAAAAATATTTCTTCTTTTAAATTTATTTATTTTCACAATTACACAGCGGAACGAAAATTTAAAAAATTAAAGAAAACAAAAAAAAACTTGTTTGTATATTTATTCACAAATAAAGGTAGTAAAGTTAGTGAATTGATTAATCTATTTAAATGTTTTTGTAGGTAAAAGGCCATTTTAATTTTTATAAAAAACAAAACTTTTCTGAAAAAATTCCTTTTCATTTAATTTTTACTCCTCCATTTTTATTAGCAATTAAAGGTGAAATTGTCTCTTTGACAAAATTTGTTGTAATCTGTGCGAACCATCGAGAATGTTTAATATGTAAGTCGTGGCCCCCTCGCGCGTGAACTTCTACTCTTTAAAAATAAAATTTTTGTAAGGAAAGTGAGGTGATTAGGGCGGAAATCCAAGTGTAATTTTTAAGTGTTTCAAAATTGTGATTAAAAATTGGACCCTATCCCAAAAGAAGGGCGGAATCGTTTTTTTCATTACCTGCAAGGAAAGGAAAAATGAAAAGGAAAATGGAGACAGATGGGCACGGACAAACAAAACACGGACGGAAATGCTTTAGAAATTGATGTCCGTCCGTGTTTTGTCTATCCATCCGTCTCCATTTTTCCTTTCTTTGCAGGTAATGAAAAAAACGATTTCGCCCTCTTTTTTGGATAGGGCCAAAAGTTGTATATCCAAAAATTTGACTTTTTAACCAAAATCTTTTTAGAGGGGATTCAAAATTTTATTTATTTTGTTGCGAGAATTTTATGTAGGACTGCCATTTCAATTCTCAAAAAAAAACTTTTTTTCGAGTACCTAGCATTCTTTATTTTATTGCTCATTAATTTAGGATCCAAAACAAATCGGTCTAAAGCACCATAAATTATTAGAACAGGCATTTTAAGTGAAGACAAAACTTGATCGGAAGGAAAACGCCCACCCAAGTCTTTATAAACTCTGAAAAAAATTAATTAGAATTTAAATAAGTATTTAAACATTTTTTACATCGCAACAACATCACACAATGCTGCCCATTGTTCTCTAAGAAATTCTTCCGAATAATGTTGTAAATAACTTTCTTTTGCTGTGGGTAACCAATGTGTAGTGTTTCGCATACCTTTGTAGGAAAAAATAAATTTTTATTTTAAATAAATTTAAAAATTATATTTAACATACAGTCAGCAATACCTCACCCTTAGGGCCAAAATTTTTTTATTTTTGTAATGAGGCGTATTTTAAATATGTTGTACCTATCATTTATGCAATTCTCCCACCCAATGACCACCTAAAGTGAGATCAATCACTAGTTTTGGGGTATCTATAGGCGACTGTTGGGAAGATTATAAATATTGGGATGAGCAAAAAAATTTTTTATAATTCTTCTTATTACACAAATTATTTTTCAATTTTTTCTTTTTTTTTATCAAAATAAGGGAAACTGTGACGTTACGTCAGTTTAACGTCATCTTTCACATTATAAAATCAGCAAATGTGTATTCAAACCCTTGAAACTTAACATAACTATGTTCATATAATGTTAACTATTTAAAAAATTTAAGTTTCAAATATCCTATTTTCGAAATTATGCCCAAAAATTCTTTATTTATGTCCGTAATTTGTCTTATATGTTTTGGGTATTTGACCAAAAACTTCTGAAATAGCAAAGAGCTCTATCAACTAAAAATATTTTTTAATTTTAATTCTTTTTCACCTTTAAAAGCCATATCACCACGAAAGTCAACTTGTGTAGAAGTTGAAAGAAGAATTATATGACTAACCAAAGTTTTTCCTTGTCCCCCAACGTGTATTGCTGTTCTTCCTCCTTCACTCCATCCCAGAACAACAAAAGGAGTTAATTCTAAAGTCTTTTTTGGAAAAGGATTTTTTTGAAAATTTTTCCAAAATTTTTAAAACCTCCATTAATTTAATACAATATCCAGCATCTTTTTTGCATCGGTTAATTTCTTGCTTTCTGTCTGGTGGCCGACTTGTACCGTAGCCTGGGGGGTCGATACAAATAATTGTTACAGCCTCTGGGTCGTAAGCGGAAAGCATACTTTCTGGGTAATCTTTTTTGTAGCAACCTTTTAAAAAAAGTTTTATTATTAAAAAAGGATTATCTAGAGAGAATTTGAACGAGAATTTCGGCATCCGCATTCAGATATGCGTGAGGTAAATGCTCTTAGAACTCACTATAGGATAAACACCAATATACCTCACTTTAGGATAAATTTTTAAAATGTAGATGGCTACACTGGGAAGCTGTGATACCTTCTAATTAAGATTCCCTTCATTATAAGATACATACCATCTTTTTAGCTCCAACGGAGTATTTTATTCATAGGGAGGTTCGACAATATTATTTTTTTTAAATTAAAAATCAAAAACAAACCAACTCCACCACATATAAAGAGAAAATTAGTTTGTCCTTTTCCATATCTACAATAACCAATTTCTCTGTCCAAAATATTCATTTTATGTTCAGAAATTTGAAATTCACAAATTGTTTTAGTTTCTGCCTCATTTTGAATATTTTCGCCGTTCATTCTGATAAATTCTGATTTTTAATTAAATAATTTCGGTATACATATTGTAAATTATAAACAAAGGGGGAAGCGTGTAGAGATCGGACAGGATCTGGATCCAGTCTGGATTTTTCCTGGATTCAGAATCCAGAATCCTATCCAGGTCCAACCTAAATCCAGATCCAGAATTTTTGAAAATACGGATCTCTAAAAGCGTGTAGGGGATCAAAATTCCATAGGTTACAGGATTTTCTAACGACGATACTTGGATAACACATTTTAACTGACTTTTTACTTTAACTAAAAAATTATTTCCAGCTTTATATGGTTAGAAAAATATAAAATTATTAGCAGACTGATGATATATTTTAAACAATTTTTGTGGAAAGCGCAGACTTTTTTCGCCGATTTTACACACAATAAAAGTATTTTTGAAAAAGCTTTTGCACGCCACCCAATTTGGAGAAAAATAATTTATTTAACGATCCACTTATTTATCCGAATAAATTGTTGTATTCATTGATCATATAAATTAATTTTTCTTTTACTTTTATTAGAAAGATGGAAAGTGAAAGTATAAAACTCAATCAATCAATTTCTTCAAAAAAAGTATTTGCGTGGACCTTTCCTAAAAAATTAATAAAAACATCTACTAAATAATTAACAGAATAATATTTAATTAATTAATTAAAGTAATAATTAATAATGCTCAAGCTTTCCAGGCCATGAAAAGTGGAAGCTTATTCTTTAAAGATTTGAGCTTCAATTATTTACATAAATTGAGTTAAAATAGTCGGACCTCATCAAACCTCCCGATTAGGGTTGCTAGCTCGACCGAACCGAAACTCGAAGAATCGAGCCAGCCGAGGCTTTTCAGCTCGAAGATGAACCGAATAAAAAAAATCAGGCTCGAAAAAAATGCACCGAACGCCGGCTCGAATCGAAAACGCAACCCTACTCCTGATAGTGAGATTGGAAAGTAATAATAAAGAGATGTTTTTAGAATTTTAAGATTTTTTAAACTTTTTACTTATAATTTCATAAAACCTGTAATATACCTATTTTTAATTTTAAAAATATTTTTCAAAAATCAAAAATTGACAGCATTTTCAAAAATAATTTAAAAATAAATACTTATTCTCATCTCAATCAACTACTCATTTCCCTCTCCTTCTCCTTCATTTTCTCCATTAATTTCCAAATTTTTCTTTTTCTTCTCCAAATATTTAATTTTCAATTCATCATTTTGACTATTTATTTGTTTTTTAATTTTTTTAATAATTTTTTCTGGTTCTTTAATTTCTTCCCTTCTTGGCGGCCAAACACAAAATTGTGAATTGCAATGACAAAAAAATTTTGGATTTTGTAACAATTTTCTATATATCCAATAATCACCATAATAAAAACAAAGTTCTGGAAAAATAAAAAGATTTTTATAAAAAATTTGAGGATATAAAATAAGAACGGAATTTATACCAAAGATTACTCTAATTTCAGTGTTTAGATGGAAAAAACAAAATTTTAAAACGTCGAGAAGAAAATGCTTCCCACAGCTGCAGATTTAAAAAACTGCAAATTGTGGGAAATGTTATTTAGTTTTTTGTGTTTTAAGGTTTTTTCTGAAATTTCCCATTGGTTCGTAAAAAGTAGAGTCTGTAAAGGGACGGTCCACAAGTGTCCTGTTACCATGAACTCATCGCGGGATAGAATCAAGTCTCGAAATTATTATCCCCACTAGATTTAAAACCGACAGGAAAAGCAAAAGACTGATTAAAGGTAATAAATAAAACATTCAAAGAAAAATTAAATTAATTTCCTACCATCCCCAACATCAATTTCATTAATAGCAACAAAAGCAATAAACGGCCTTTCAGGAGTTATCCATTTACGATAAACAGTTATTGGCATTAAATTAGGACAACAACTAAATTTAAAAATTTATTTTAAATTTATTTAAAAGAAAACTTACGAACTATTAAAAAATCTCGATTCATTTGCAAATTTATCCATTTTAATTGTAAAAGAAAATTGGCGCTAGAGAAGAAAATTTCTTAAAAATTACAAAAAAATTTCCTTACAGTTTCGTCTTTGAATGTAAAACTAAAATTTTCTGATATTTTATTGTTATTTGAAGACAAAACTTCTCCAGCCATATAACAAATAAAACTTCCTTTTTTAATTTGTTTCAAAGTTTTGCAAGAATAACCGGCACAAGATTTTCGAAAAATTTCCAATTTAAATTTTTGTTGATTTCCTCCCAAATTATTTTTACATTTCCCAGCACACCCACATTCATCAGAACATTCATAAAGAGAGAAATTGAAAGGATTCCCAGATAATTTTTCAACATTTTCGACACGTCCAGACTAAAAAAGAAAATAAAAAAAGTAAAAAAAATTTATTTAAACAAACTTTGCTTAATTTAATTGAACTCATATTTATACATAAACAACCATTGGCAGCAGAACATTGATCCAAACATTGACAGAATTGCTGAAAAATATTTGGGAAAATGAGTTTAAAAAATCAAATTTAAAGTTTAGGCCTAGATGAAGGCCCTTACACTTAGCCAGAGGGGGGGGGTGGGGAAAAGGAAAAAATTTAGGGAGGAGATTGGGCAAAAAAGTTAATTTTTTGGCCTTCGGCCTTCAATTGAAATTGAAAAAAATTTTCGACTGCGGCGCAAACGGGCCTGCCTAGATTTTCTAAAAATTTTGATTTTTACTAGGTCGGTTCATAAAAAAGTTCGTTTTTTTCAAGAATAAATTCTCCAAGAAAAATCGATAAATCTCAAGCAAACTCAAACAGATAAAAAATCTAACTGTACTAAATAATTGTCCCGAGTCTTAACAACATTCCTAAACCAGAAAAAAGTTTGTGGATACCTCTTTTTATAAAAATCTGACCACATTTCTGAAGCACTGTCTTCCCCACCAAAGTCTCGACCTTGGCGTCTTCAGTCAAGTGCCAGTCCCGTAAAAATTTTTTTAAAGAAGTGAAATGATGTTAATCTGATAGAGCAGACTCAGGGCTACAAGGGGGGTGGGGTAACACTTTCCAACAAAGTTTATTTGGGTTATGGCAGGTCGTCAAATATGAGCGGTGCAAAGGAGCGTTATTTTAATGGAAAACCAGAGGTCTAGTAATCAGTCCCTAGCGACGCTGAAGGTAACAAACGAAATCTCCCTGGGTGGGCTAGTTAATATGCATGTTAGAGTTTGTAATGGTACCAAGTTAAAGTAGCTCCGACATCAACGGACCGAGCACCGTCCAAAAGAACACACAACATACGTTTTTTGGGTAGTTGGTTGGGCGGGGGACCAAAAGAGGGTCTTAATATTTTTTCCTCCAAATAATTTTTTGTACATTATTATCGTAATTGGCATATGTTTAAACTTAGGTAACAATTCGGTTCCATGAATAACCCTTTCGATAGTTATCCAGGCTTGGAAGGCTAAAAAAAAGTCCCTGTTGTTTTTGTCTCCCAGTCGGTTGGTGCATTACTCTTTTTGTCCTCCTCGGCGCAAGATCCGTTTTTTCGAACAATTGCCATATTGTACTTATAGAGCAATGTCCCCTCTACAATTCTAATAAAAAATATCTGGATATCGTTCTAACCGGCGAGCAAGGACGCATTTGTTTACAGTCGGTCATCTTCACGACCATGTTTGTGTTTGGTCCTATTGTTCCCAGATCGAATTTTTTTGAAAAATTTTTGAGCTACACTAGGTTAGACAAGATCCCTGCCTATCATTTCATTGATTTTTCTTGCTGCCAATATTGCATTATTACTTAGTTTTAATGGGATGTGTAACTGCCCCTAAATATCCCCCTTACCCACGCTCACTTCTGAAGGCATAAAAATTTTTTTATCTTTGATATTTTTAAAATTTTGGTATCATTATAAAGCTAAGACTCTGGGCTACAAAATAAGATAAAAATAAAATCGGATAAAAGTAGTTATCCCCCAAAAAACTTGCGATAACAAAAAACGAACTTTTTTATGAACCGACCTAGTAAATGTTAGAAGGTATTTTCGAATTTTAAATAAAAAAAATTAAAGTCTAAAATAACAAACTCTCAATGGAAGCTCATTTTGCAAAACATCAGAAAATACAGGTTCTGAACGATAATCAAACGATGGAAATATTGGCGGTTTATCAATTGAATTAATTACTTTAATTGGATATTTTGCTTTGCCCTTTGAAATATCGCTAAAAATTGAAAAAATAAAAATTTTTAGATTAAAAATAAACTTTGAAACAACAACAGCTGGTCCTTCAAATAAACTCATTAGTCGTTAAATAAAAAGAAGATTCGAATAAATAAGCCGAAGGGAATAAGCTCTGAAATTAAACATTAACAAAAGAAAATCTTGAAAAATCCTTAAAAATTTCCCATCTCTAACTTCCTCTCGTCTCTTTCTTTTTCATTCTCTCATACTTCATAGACACAATGCCAAGAAAAATAAAATTAGTGGAAAATTGGAATTACGAAAATATAGCTTATTTTCGCCAACTATTTTCGATTTGATCAAATCATCCTACAAAAATATGATCTGATCTTACCCAAATTCATTTTACCTAAATTTAGTCAATTTATTTAAATACTATTACCACACACATTTATCTACACAATTTTTAATAACTTCCTAAACAAAACAGCAACAAACAAAAAATTACATATTATTAATTTATACATTATATTTATATATCGAAAACATCTTTATCTCCACATTAGCTTATTAATCTTCTCTTTTGGAAAAAACATGCCCAATCGTCTCATTTGGGTTCAACGTTTTGATTCCTTGATCCTTGATTTTTTTCTAGAAATAGAAGCAAATTATTTTAAATAAATCAAAAACTTCTTACCGCCTTTTCGTCGAGCGCAAACTTTCTAGGCTTTGGTGCTTCATTACTTGGATGCTTAAAAAATATTTTTATATAAAGTTTTCCGAATATTCGTTATAACATACCACATCGTCGATAGAATTAATCGCTGTTTCGGTCTCAGCTTTTTTAGGAGAGGCCCCCAACTTATCAGAAGATTTCTCCGGAACAGCTGCTGCTTGTGTTTGCTTTTGTTTTTTCATAGGAGACGATTTTGCCTTCGGCGACTGCTGCTGATTGTTCTTCAATTGACGGTCCGTTAAAGTTTTCGGTCCTGCCTAAAAAATGTCGGCGATATTTTAATTTAAATCAAACTTTGTTGAGAAACTCACTTTTTTAATCTTCCTTTTGCTCTTGCCACATACAATCAGAAGTGCAGAAATGAACAGAACCGACTCAGTCAAGATGATTAAACATGAAGCAAAGCAGTAATACATGGAGAATAATGCCTGTTTTGCTTTTGAAGAAAGGCGAAAATAATAGTAAGCTGTTGAGGTGATCTCTTGAAGAATTGGTATGGACATTTCGACGCTTTTAGATGTTTAAATAGTCAATGATTTTTGTTAAAAAGATGGGAAGTTCTTCATATAAAAGCTTGTTAAAGCTATCATCTTCACGTCCAACTCACAAACCACTTGTTCCTCTCTCCGTTACTCGTTGCCACACTCGCCATCGCTGGTGCCATTCAAATGCGGCGTGCTAGTACTTCAAGGACTCCTTCAAGGTCATCGTCAAATTCATCCAACAACTCTAATACAAGGCCACAGACGTCCAGGCCAACAGTGCTAGTGTCAATTCCACTTGAAGAGAATGAACTACTTGGAGTTAAGCTTAATAAATCGTGAGTTTAGCTATTTACTTTTTTGCGTAATCTGTTAATTACATACCATCATTTTTTAGTTTGATTGTAACAAGCGTCCAACGAAGGTCTCCAGCACACGGTCATTTGCATGTCGGCGACAAAGTATTAACGGTCAATGATCGTAAGATTAGAGACGTGGATGCATTCTTCAGGATTCTGCGCATAACCTTTCCTGTCGCGAATATTTTGGTTCGGAGGCTGGGTACCAGTAGCCGTGTTATCAACACAGAAAGATCGCCGGAAAGAACAGCAACATCTATTGTACGTGACGAACCTCAACAACAACAACAACGATTACCCCAAGCACAGCTGGCTGATGATTTGCCACAGGAAATACGGACGGCAATAGAAAAACGTAGAGGATATAGATATTCGGTAACAAGAAAAGTAGATGAAGGATGAAAAAATTTTTCTTATTTTTCAGTTAGTATCAATTGATCGAGTTCGCGGCACCTCCCTTGGCCTTTCCATCAAAACGAGAGATAATCGCGTTCTTGTTACCAACGTGGGGCCAGAATCCCTGTGCTCACCACATCTAAGGCAGTATGATCACATTGTCTACGTGGACAGTGTGCGAGTGACTCAAGCGGAGGTGGCAAAGCATTTGATGGTCAGATCTCTTAGTGAGGTAGAAATTTTTTTAAAATATTTTAAAGAATTTTTAATATTTTTTTCAAAGAATGATTATGTGGAACTGGTAATTGGGCGCCCAATAATGAGAGAAACAATTTCCCTGGCGAGAACTGCGTTAGCGCGGGAGGATGTACACGATCCGCCATCTCATCGTCTAGGCCTTGATGTCCAGCAAATAATGCGACAACAGGTGTGTTTCTGCGTGAAATAATCACAAAATATTTTTTTTCCCACAGATTGTAAATATGGCTGCCTATGCACAACTTGAACCAGTTGGAATTCTCAATGAATCGGGTGAACCTCCGCCAAGAAGCAGACGTGTAACCTTCTCCGGTAATAATGTAATTGTGCCAATCCGAAGCGACTATGTTGGGCGACAACTGAGAAATGTTACGGATAATGTCATAAATTCACCAGTTAGGCAGTCGAGGCGGCGATAGTAGAACACTGATTTATATAATTAATTAATCGTTTTCTCTCCATTTTTGCTATCTGTATATTCCTATATTTGTTTGGTTTTTATATTTGTTCATGTAGAATAAATTCATTATGTAAAAAGTTTTTGGAAAATTCAATTGTTAAACTTAAGTGACTAATTGGTTGTCGCACTAGGGCGTCGGTTCTATTTACTTCTTAGTTTTGGTTCCGGATATCCTTAATTTTCGCTTCGGACATCGGTTTGGGTTTGTTCGATTCTTTAGAAAACGGCGGAGGATTTTTGGGCTCTTGTCCTTCTGAAATCCCAAAAATTGTTGCCCTCAGCGGTCAAAATAGAAAATCTAGATGAAAATTCGAAAAGCTGCCCTTCCACAATAATTTTCGGCTTGCACCCGGGTATCAAGATTTTTCATGACCTACACCACTAGAACACACTCGACTTGCACCTAACAAAAGATTTAGAAAATCATTTTTAAATAAAAAAATAAAAATTTATCAAGAATAGGACTCAATATAAATATAAAATACATCGTCTTTAAATATTTTCTGTCTAAAAATTTTCTAAAAACCCGTGCACATCTCGTTTTCTTATTAAATTTTATACAGTGAATATTTTATCTCGCCATAAGAATGATTAAATTTTTTTAAACTTTTTGTTTCATCATATAGACAAATTCTGAAATATGTAAATTAAAAATTTGTATATTCCTCTAAATTCCTGCTTATACATACTAAGCGAGGGCTCCTTTCTCTGGCTTCAAAACAATCTACAGTTAAGCCTTTTTAATTACTCTAATGTGGGACCGAATAGAACTGATATAGAAAGTGATCGAGGGGAGTTAGGCTGAAGTAAAGTGCCATGTAAAGAGGCGCCTATTAGAGAGATTCCAGTGTTATGTGTCCAATTCGCAATGAACCTACTTTAGGTCAAATAAACTAAAAAAAGAAGGGAGCCTTCTTTTCAAATAGAATTTCAAATCAAACCATTAAAGTTAACTTTTCCATCTCCATCCAAATCAGCTTCTCTAATCATTTCTTTAACTTCAAAATCTGTAAGGTCTTCTCCTAAATTTTGCATAACAAAACGCAATTCAAAATGTGAAATAAATCCATCATTGTCTTTATCGAAGACCTTTAATTTTTGTGTAATTTAGAAATTTTATTTTACAAATATTAGATCCCCAATACGAGATTTTGTTGATTACATGAAAGGGGGGGGGGGAAGTATGCCCAACTAACATCCACTCTAGTGTTGCGCCGGAAGTTTCCGGATTTTTTGGTTCCGGTTCTGGTCAAAATTTCAGTTCCGGTTCAGGAACATTACTCCACCCCCCTTCGTCCTTTAAGATAACCCCCATTCTAAGGTTTAATTTTCTAATTCAAAAGTGAGTAGCTCTATTAAGGTTCAATTATATTTATAAAATTTACTTGAAAAGCTTCTCTCAATTCTTTTTCACTTTCAGATTCTTTTACTTTTCTACTCATCATTTTAACAAATTCGTTTAATTCAATACTTCCATTACCTAAATTAATTAAATTAAAAGCCAGTTGTTTAAAGAAAATTTTTCTTCCATTTTTTTCCTCCAAAAATAAAATTTTTATATAAAATATATTTATTGCCTATATTTTAATTTTGTTTTTAAAATATTTTTTCTTGATTAAAAGAAGGAACTTTTCTTAAAAAAAGGAACATTTGTTTTGGCAAAAACAATAAGGAGGAATGAATAACAATTGGTTTTTAAAACCCTCTATTTAATTAACAGAAAATTCCCTCTCTATAATATGTAAATATCCTTTAAATTTAAGAAATTCTGTCTCAATTCTGGATTATATTTTTACAGCAAAAGTATTAGCCTCTTGGGACCGAAGTTAGCATGCATATAAACGGCATCTCTCGTAGTTTTTCTACAAGAAATTAAGATAGGACTTGGGATTCGAATGATTAGAGATTATTGAAAGAAATCTCGTCTTAATTTTCGACCTCTAATAACTAACAAATCTCCCCCCCCTTTATTTAAATTAATCACCGTCTTCATCAATTTCCCTAACCATTTCTTGCAATTCTTGATCTGTTGGGGAATGTCCAAGCGATTTCATAACAATTCCCAATTCTGCCGCTGTTACCCTTCCATCCCCGTCTTTGTCAAATAATTCAAAAGCTTCTTTAAATTCTGCTACCTTTTGAATAATAATTTAAAAATAATTAACTTTCCCAAACTTGATCTTCAGTAAGTCCTTCAATTTGGGGTAATTCACTTCTAATATTATTGCTATTTTGTTGTTGATTTATATTTTCATCATTTACAATATTTCTGACAATTTGTGTTTCTCCCATTTTTTATTTAGAGAAAAATAATTTTTTAAATTGTTTTTTTAATATCTACATAAAGTTAAAATTTTATTAACAATTAAAAGGGAAGGGAATTTTAGTTTAAAATATATTTTGAATTTTCTTCTAAAAAGTAAAATTTATACCTAATAATTTCATTAATTATAGTAAAAAGATAAAATTAGAAAAAAAAGTGGAAGAAAGAAAAGGTTTATACCGGATAGGACTTCAGGTCCCTATTTTATAATTATAACCCTCCCAATCCTAATCTATTTAATGCCCAACTTAGGTTATACCGTAAAGCTTCTAATAGAAGCACACCTCCCAATATAATCACACCCTACAAAAGAATCGAAAAATAGAAGCAATGTGCTTCTATTAGAAGTTTTACGGTAATTTATATCCTTCCCTCTAATTACTTTAAAAATAGGGCTAGTGAAGGTAGAACAGATATTTGGATTGTTTTGCCATTGTCTAGGACTTGGTCCTATTCTAAAAAAATATTTTCTATAAGGAATTGAAAAAAGAATTATTTAAAGAAAGAAAACAAAAAAGTCTTGCAATAAAATCAAGAGCAAAATCGTTGTCAATCAATCATAAAATTAAAAAAAAATAAATTTTAATGTTCTCCCCCCTTTTTCCTTCCGTTTTTTTAAATTTTCTCCCCCAAAATTGGGCAAAAATTATTTTTATCTTTTTTTTTTCTTCTTTCTATTTACTTTTTCCACCCCCACAATTTTATTAATACACCTGTCTTTCTACATGAAGGTAGGAAAAGGAGTTGGGGAAGGGGAATAGGAGTTGAGGAGTAAGGTTGGCGGATAGTTGGAAATCTTCGGATATCCGGATCCGGAACCGATATCCGAACCGAAATTTTCGGATATCCGGATCCGGAACCGATATCCGAACCGAAATTTTCGGATATCCGGATCCGGAACCGAAATTTGTATTTTAAAAATTTTCGCCTGCGGCGCTGAAAAGTTGAGTCTTATGGAAAATATAAAGGGATTAGAGCAATTATGATTGGATTTGGGGATTAACAGTGTTATCGAGATAATTTATGCTTAACAGAGTTATCTATTTAGGTGTAATCAATGTGTGGAAAATTTTGTAGTTTATCTGATGATTTGTGAGAATTTAGTGGATTTGGGGGAAGTAGTAGATACATAGGCTATTTCCATATTTTTGAATTTGGTAAATTGATATCTGGGATCGTGGGATTAAGAGAATACTGAGAGATTTAGAGGTAAATCCTCCGTTATCATACAAACCCCTTTTCTTCCCTTTTAAGCGCCGCAGGCGAAAATTTTAAAACTTGGAGGTCCTTAAGTCAGATTTCTTCCACTGACAGCGCCGCAGGCAAAAATTTTGGTAATTTTGGAAGGCCGTAGGCCAAAAAAATTCACTTTTTAGCGCCGAAGGTGAAAATTTTTTGTAATTTTGGGAGCAAATGAAGCAAAATTTCTTCCATTTTCAGCGCCGCAGGCGAAAATTTTGGGAATTTTGGAAGATTAGACTTCCAGATGTTCCTTTTCCAGCGCCGCAGGCGAAAATTTTGTGAATTTTGGAAGCCTGGGCTACCATATTTGTTCATTTTCAGCGCCGCAGGCGAAAATTTTGAGAAATTTGGAAGGCCATTGGGCAAGATTTCTTCCTTTTTCCGTAATTCTAGGATCCGAACCGAAATTTTCGGATATCCGGATCCGGATCCGATATCCGATCCGAAAATTTCGGATATCCGGCCTTTTTTCGGATCCGGATATCCGGATCCGCCAACCTTATTGAGGAGGAGGGGGGGGGGAGGTGTGTGAATAAAATATTGAAAATCGGAAGACTAGAAATTTGTAAAATAAACGCGACAGATTACCTATGTTATTATGATTTTTTGTATAAACGAGGTACCAAAAATTACATATAAGATAACCATACCCATAAATTAATAGCTCCGGATGCCCGGAAATTTTCAGTTCATATATCAAATCGGTTTCGGACATTCGTCAACCCCACTCACAGTTACGGGCACAAATTTAATTTTAAAAATTAGATAAAAAAGAATTAATTTTACTAAAAAAATGAAAATAAAACTTTGAATATTTATTTCTCAATATTTTCATTGTTTTTGTTTATTTTGCCTTTAGAGGGGAAATTATTTAAAAACCCCCTACTAGTCATTATTTTTATTTTGTTTTTCAAAAAATGTTGCGCATTCCTTTCCTGTTTTTTAATATACTCTCCCACACTTCTCATAATTAAAATAAAAAAATTATTTCTCGAATTTCATTATTTCACACAGGACTTATATTTTAAAAATAAATAAGACCCAAAAGATCATCACTCAATTTAAATTAAATAAGGTGGTGATCTTTCGGAAGAATATTTATTGGGTTTGTTTGTGTACTAATTTATAGGAAATGAAATAAAAAAATTGTTTATACAAAAAATTATATTTTTTTGATATTAAATGATAAGAATAGCATATGATAAAAATAATTTTATGAACAAAAAAATTTAATATTGGTTTTGCTAGACTTTTTCGAGTAAATATTATCAAAATTATTTTTTAATTTTACGATTATTTTCTATGGAAAGTCAACTTTTATTTGTACTTATAATTAAATTCGCTTTATAAAAATTTTTTTAATAAAGTAACATCATGGCTTCGATATTAAGCAATTGAAAAATTTAAATTAAAATTGGAAACATAATCTGCAGTCTACAAAATTGGGGGCAGCCCTGTATAATATCCTTAAGGATGATTCACCTAGCAGATAAAAGAGAAAGCACTAGTCGATGCCCCGGTAGCTCAGTGGTAGAGCTCCTGTATGTGGTGAGCGAAAGCGCCTAGCAATAACTACGAGGAGGTCGCAGGTAAAATCCTGCCCGTTGGCTAAACTCTTTCTACTCTAATGGTTAATTGAAAACACTTGAAAAAACATGTTAAAAGAAATAATAAATCCAAAGTTACGATCTAGAAGGATAAAAAATATTTTTAAGGGGAAAAGTTAAAATTTTATCTGAAAATAAAATAAAAATTGAGCAAAAAACCCTCCCAAATATTATTTTGCTCAGATAAAAAATAAAAAAAATATAAATTTATTTATTAGTCATGAAAAATATAAAATGAATGAAACCGATAAAAATAATATTATATTTGTAATAAAATTGAAGAGGAGAGAAAGATAGAAAGTGTAAAACCCCTCAACACGTGCTTTTTGGTACTTCCCCTTTGAAAATTTATTTTTTTATCAAAAGTAAAAACCAATTGCCAAATGATCAATTGCTGGAATTAAATATAAAAAAATTAGTTTTTAGTTGTAAAAAGAAAACGGAAATAAAAGAAAACTTTTTATTTTTAAAGTAAAAAATAATAAATCTTGAGAGAAGGTTAAATAAATACACCTTTAAACATCTTAAAAGTTGTTAATTAAATATTTTATATTTTTTAAATTTTTTTTTTAATTTTGGAAATAACTTTAGATATATGTATTTTATGTTAAATTATTTTTATTTTAATTAAATAATTAGGAACAAAATTAGAATTTGTATGATATAAAAAGGAATAAACCATCGACAAATTTTTATGATATGAATAAAAAAATGTTGCACTAATTTCTCTGAATATATACATATTATAAGGAGATTAATAGAAATTATGAAAAATTTTTAACGCCGAAACTTGACATCCCAAAACCAGCAGAAAATTGAGGTTGATTCGGCTTTGTTGGTCATATGTATATTAGAAGAAAAATGTGACAAAAATATCTAAGAATCAACAAAAATCACCACGTCTATCCCTATCCTGTCTTAACAAAGTTTTAAAAAGAAATAAAAAATTTATGGAAGTCAAGAATTTAGAATTTAATTCATTAAAAACGACTTTTGAGTTGTAATGCTATTTTTTAAATTATTTTTAGTTTGAAAATAAAACTTAAAAAAATATTTCAAAACAAAACTCGTGATAAAGTATAAAATAAAATTTTATTTTAATTTTTATATTGTGGAGGTCAAACAAACAAAAATCCGCGTGTTAAAAATAAAGAATGAAACAGAGCGGAAATATTTTGCAAAAAAAGAAGAAAAAAATTTTTATTTAAAAAAAAGAATTTTGTAAAAAATTAAATTTTTTAAAATAAAATCTTTTGTTCTAAGCAATCAGACTATCTCAGCCTTAAGAAGATGGCATAACCCTACATATCTATTGTAAGGATGATTCACCTAGAGCATTTAAACACTTAGACGGGGGTTACACGATCTAAAAGGATAAAAGAGAAGGCATTAGTCGTCGTCCCGGTAGCTAAGTTTAGAGCACCTGCATTATTGTGAACGAGCACATTCCTTCCTTTAAAAATGATTTTAAAATACACATAAAAACTGTTCAAAAGTTTAGGAAAAACAAAAAATATTTTTTTCTTTTTTTTAAATTTAAAACACGCAAGGGAATTAACTGACAGACTTTAAAAAAAAAAGTAAAAATATAGTGATGGCACAAACGCCAAAATTTAAAGAAAATACAAAAAATGATTGATGGGTGGTATTAGGGAAAGAAATAATATAGGAGGGGGGATTTGTTTTGAAAAATTTAAATAATTATTTTTAAAATAAAAATAGGTATTCTTTTACTTTTCTCGATTTCCTTTTACTTATTTTATATTTTTTTGAATCCTTATTCGTTTAAAAGGGGATACTCCCATTATTTTGAATTAAATATTGAGTAAAGCAGCTGGGCTATAGCTATTTCTCTCCTTCAGCTAATGCAAAAGGTTCGGCGGATGGGAGCGAACAAGCATCTTCAGTAGACCGGCCTGATCACCACGTCGCATATTGAACAGCCTTAGGAATTAAATATAGTGTAGTACACATTCCAACCTTGTTGGATCCCAAATTCCCGAAAATCGGGAATTTAATTTTGATGTCGGCATTCTTGTCATTTTATTAGTTCAATTTTTCTTGTTTTTCATTAAAGAATTAAATAAATTTATTTTTGAATACACATATCTATAGTCAATTTAACTAACCAATTTTTCTTGTCAAAAACTCGTTCAAATAATCAATGTTTGTTTCCCTCATTTCCACAAAATTTTTTTTCTTTTTAATTTTTCCACTCAAGATGTGTAAATAAACAATGAGATAGAACAAATAAATTAGTGCCAAAAAGAAGAAAATGAAGCGAAAGAAAGTCGATCCTTTTGATTTTTAAAGATAAGAGGAAGAAACTTTCTTTTATTCCGCGCAAGTTTATTTTTACTTTAAAACAAGTTTATATTTTTCAGAATTTATATATTTTTGAGTACTTTTAACATATAATAATTCTAATTATTATTTAATTTTTTGGAAATTATTTCTTCTTAAATTAATTTTGTGGATATTAAAATGGTTATTTATTTATTATTTATATACCGGATTTATTCTGATAGAAACACATCTCTATTTGAATCACAGTCTCTAATATATATAAGCACGAAATTCGAGGGGCTGAAAAATAGAACCATAGTGGTTCTATTAGAATAAATCCGGTAACTTGTTTAAGAAAGGATGAATTTGTTGGGTTTAAAAAGTTAAAATATTTAAAAACCTCTACTTATTTTTTATTGCCTTTTATTTAAAAATAGTAAAAATTGTCATTAAATATCCCACCTTTTTCCATTTAATTATAACCGGAGGGTATTTTCAATTTAAAACTTCTGTATCTATAACGGAGTTTATTTAAACACAAAACTATTAGAAAAATAAATTAAAATCTTATAAATCTTAAATTAAGAGCGATGATCGTGTTAATGAAGCTTTGGAACAATTAACCTCTGACCAAATTGAACGTAATAAAAATTAATTTTATTTTTTTAAATTTTAATAAAAAATTTTCTTTCAGAATTTCGAAAATATTTTAATATGTTTGATAAAGTAATTAATTATTTTTTAAAGAAAAGGAGAAATAATTAATTTTAAGGAAGGTAAAGGATTTATTAGAGCAACACAAGTCGGGCAAATATTGCGTACAATGGGGCAAGCTTTTGAAGAACGTGATTTAAAACAATTAATTAGAGAATTTGATTCTGATGGTTTTTAAATTATAATTAATTTAGATATATATGTATATCTTCCATATAATTAGAAAATTGTGAGATGAGATTATTCGGAACATAAGAAAAGTCTAAATTAGAGAGTGGGTAGAATACAATCCCGGAACCCTTGACGGGGTCGAGTTTTAGAATGTCGACAAAACGGGATCCCACGATAACCCAAATGCTTCCAATCTGAGAGTTCAGAAAATCAAGAGTTTGAAACGGGCTACTGAAAACACCGTATAAGATTCCATTCAGTGTTGACTTTTAATATTTAATTAAATCTTTAAACAAACAAACCAAACAAAAATTCCCTTAAAATAATCTTAATAAATTTTTAATTAATTAAAAAAAGGCTCCGGAGAAATTGAATTTGAAGAATTTGCAGCAATGGTTGCGAATTTTGTGGTTTCGGGTGAAGATAATGAAGGATTACAACAAGAATTAAGAGAAGCTTTCCGTTTATATGACAAAGAAGTTTGCTAAAAATAAAATTATTTTTTTAGGAAAAAGTCCAAAAAATTAATTTTAAATTACGTGCCCGCTCAACTCATCTAATACTTAACTCATCCACACGCCCAAAAACGCTCAACTCATCTAAACGGCTAAAATTCCTTAACTCATCCACACGGCCAAAAACGCTCAACTCATCCAATCCTCAACTCATCTAATGCTTAACTCATCCATACGCCCAAAAACGCTCAACTCATCCAATCCTCAACTCATCTAATGCTTAACTCATCTACACGGCCAAAAACGCTCAACTCATCCAATCCTTTGGAACGAGACTATTGAGTACCAGTCGTTTGAGTCCCTGGCCGTTTGAGTCTGGCCGTCTGAGTCCATGACCAGTTGAGTCTCTGGCCGTCTGAGTCTCTGGCCGTCTGAGTCCATGACCAGTTGAGTCTCTGGCCGTTTGAGTCCATGACCAGTTGAGTCTCTGGCCGTTTGAGTCCATGACCAGTTGAGTCCCTGGCCGTTTGAGTCCATGACCAGTTGAGTCCCTGGCCGTTTGAGTCCATGACCAGTTGAGTCTCTAGCCGGTTAAGTCCCTGGTCAGTTGAGTCCCGGCCGTTTGAGTGGTTGATTACCGCCGGTTGAGTCTTGGGCCGGTTGAGACTCAACTGACCAGGGACTCACCCGGCTAGGGACTCAACCGGCCGATATTTCAAGGATTGGATGAGTTGAGCGTTTTTGGGGGTGTGGATGAGTTAAGCATTAGATGAGTTGAGGATTGGATGAGTTGAGCGTTTTTGGCCGTGTGGATGAGTTAAGTGTTAGATGAGTTAAGGATTGGATGAGTTGTAGGGTAGCCTTAAATTAAGTATAGCCTTCTTTAATTCTGACTAGAAGAGAAGCCAGAAAAATATATCGTTATTTTTATTTGAATAATTTTAAAGTAAAATCCCCCCAATCCTTTTATTTTTATCTTTAAATAAAAATAATAATTTATTCTTTAAGGGAAATGGTTATATTAATGTAAGTGATCTGAGAGAGATTTTGCGAGCTTTGGATGACAAAATAACGGATGATGAATTGGATGAAATGATTGCAGAAATTGATACTGATGGGTCTGGAACTGTTGATTTTGATGGTAAATGAATAAATAAATAAATTAATTAATTAAAGGGGTTTTTTCTAATATTTTAGAATTTCTTGAAATGATGTCTGGAGAATAAAAGGAAAAAAAATATTTTTGAAAATTTAAAAAGAAATTAAGAAAAAATAATAATTTTTGGAATATTAATTGTGTTTCATCATTTAATTAATAAATACTAAAAAAATAAACAGACAGCAAGTGGGGCTGTAACTCAGTGGTAGAGTGCTTGCTTAGCAACTTGTCTAATGTGCAAGAAGTCGTGGGTTCAATTCCCACCAGCTCCAGTTGATTTTTTTGAAAAATTTTTAAATAAATCACAGAAAATTAAGTCCAATAAAAAAGAATCCAAAATTTATAACGAAAAAAATTCTTTCCGTTTACAGAATTGCCGAATTTATTTGGCCCTTTCTAAACTTTAATATTTTTCGAAAAGTTCCACAATGAGCAATATATTTTAGAATTCTTCCAAAATTTAAGCAAATATTTTAAAAAATTTTTATTTAAGACCGTAATTTAAAGACTTCCTTTTTAATTATTAGTTAAGAAAACTTACAAAGAATATTTTTTAGAATAGAAAAAAAATTAACTGGAGCTGGTGGGAATTGAACCCACGACTTCTTGCATCTTAGAAGAGTTGCTAAGCAAGCACTCTACCACTGAGTTACAGCCCCACATGTTGGGAAGTTTTTTAATTTCCTATTTATTTTAAAGAGTTCTGATTACTTTCAATATAAGAATATTTTACAATCAAAAAAAAATTTATTTGGCTCTTTCTAAACTTTAAATTATTTTTTCGAAAATTTCCACAATTAGAAATACACCTTAGAATTGCCGAATTTTTTTGTCACATATTAATATTTTGAATTTTTCAAAACCTCCTATCAAAGTTTGGCAGAAGACGTTTTTTGAAATTAATTTTGAAATATATGTACGTTCGGGCCTACATATCTGTCGGCCAATTAAAAATTTTAAAAATAAATAAATGCACTTTTTTAAATAAACAAAAAGTGCATTAAAGCGGTAAAATGCTTTAATTTATTCGATTTCTTAATTTAAAAAATATACACGACACGTTTTCGGCAAAATTTCTTTTGAAATTTTGCCCTTAAATTATTAAATAAATAGGTCTTACACACTACATATAAAATAATTATTTGCCCTTTAATTTTATTTAAAAAAATTAATTTTTTAATTAATTAAAAATGAAAATTTTAAAACAAAAAAATATTTTTTCAAATAGAATTTTGTTAATTTCTTTGTTATTCATTGCAATATTGTTTTTTCAAGTTTGCTTGGGAGGAAATAAAAAAAGAAATGGTAATTTTTAATAAATTGTATTTTTTTGTTTATTAAAAAATACCCAGTTACATACATATGTAGATACCCCTTAACTATAAGGTATATACCAGGGGTGGAGCACATCTCGTATTTTGTGGCACTAGCGTCACCTCTATATACTATTTTTTATCCATAGAGGGCTATTTTACAGTGAAGTTTGTCTGTATAAAATCTTTTAAATTTTTTAAATTAAAAAATATTTTTAGGTACATCAATAAATCCTAATGTCGATTTCCAACATAAATCCGAACGTCGTAGTTTAAGTCAATCAGGCATTATAAAAATGAAAATTGGTAAGTTTGCATAAAAGTAATTTTTCTTTTTGAGGGACTCCGTAAAAACTGTATTAACTACCCAGGGTAATTATTGTTTCGATCTCTTGTTGGAGGGGGTAATAAATAGAGGTGGGGTAATTATTTGAGGGAGGGCAATTAATATTTTGACCTGTATAATTTTTATTTTATCATAAACATATACAATATTTTTTAAATGTAAATGATTGTTAAATAGATTATTAAAAATTGTTCTAAAATAACATTTTTATTATAGATAAGTATAAACAGAAAGAATTAGAACAATTAAAGGAAGAACAAAATTTAAATGTTTTAAATAATGAGGAGGGGGAGGAGGTGAAGGAAAAAGAAAATTTTGAAGAAATTAATGAAAATACTTCAAATTTTGGAAAAGAAAAAAGTAAAAATAAAGGTAGAAAAAGGGGAAAGGGAATGAAAAAAGGTAGTAAGATAAATGAAGAAAAAGTTGGAGAAATAACTGATGAAATTTTTAAAAATGTTGAAGAGGAAATTTGGGATGATTTTAATGAAAATATTGAGAATGTACGTCTAAATTGTCGAGTTTATTTTAGATTTATTTGGGTTTTAAAGTTGAGGGTTGAGTGTTCAGTAAAATTTTTTGTGTTCTAGACCATTTAGCTAACCATAATTAATTTATAAAATTTAAGAACCCCTCCCCCCCTAAGCTGTCTAAAATAAATATAAAAAAGATAAAAACACTCCCTGTCACAATGTCAACCAAAGAATAGACCAAAAAGCGTTAAAGACCCAAAAGACTTTGTGAACTAAAGATTTTTTAAAATTAATAATTTTAATTAAATAAATTATAATACAGAAAATGAAGAAAACAAATATTGACGACAAAGAAGAAAATAAGATCGAAGATAATAATGAAGTTTGGCATGAAGTAAACAGGAAAAAAGCTAAAAAACCGAAAAATTTTTTAAAAGTAATACTAATTAGTAAACAATATTGGATAAACCATCTATTTGAGATACGTTTTGAGCTATCTAGTTGAGATAAGCTATCTAAGTAATCACGCAATAATCAATGAAGTGGTCTGTCTTAGCCTATTCCATTAGAGCTTATATGCCTAAGCTTGTTTTTTGGCAATATTTATAGCGGCTAATAGCTTCTGGGAATGACCGTTTCTCTCTGTGACAGCTACTTCGAGCGATGATTGCTCGTCACATGTTTTTAGGTTGATCCTGGCCTTATATTATTGTAATATGTAGATTATAAGTAGAAACTACGTATATTTATTTATTAATTAAATTAAAAATTAATAATTTTAAATTTAAAAATTTAGAATAAAATCCAGAAAAATGAAGGTAAAAAATTAATTCAAAAGTATGTTCCAAAAAATCAAATCAAAAAAGAAAATTCTAAAGTTGAAAAAATTCCATATCATGTACATAAATATATTATTTAATTTTATTTTTAATTAAGTATAAATAAATAAAGGAGGATATTAAGTAGGGGGGCTTTAATGATGGTACGGGAACCTCTATTTCGATTAAAAAGATTTTTGTTTGTGCTTGATTTTTGAATGACCATTTAGGTTGATATCAAATGACCATTTGATATTAGAAGAATTTTGATAAACAAATGTTTTTGCTCAAATATCCTCCAGATCCACCAAATCCTAATACCACCTAAATTGTTAATACATTCTTACAATTCGACCTCCTTTAGGCCTAATAAAGCCTGTTTATTAGAATTTAGTTTAAATCTTTTAAAAATATAAAAATTGAAAATAACTTTAAATATTAATTATTTTAAGTTCCACTACGTACTTGATTTAACTAACAATCAACCTGGAATTCTTGGAAAACATCCATCTGTAAATATATAAAAATAATTTTTAAAAAATTAAAATTTAAGGAAATTGATAAATCTGTTGGAAATAAGGAGGGAGGGGAGGAAGAAGAAAATAAGGATAAACTTAGCGAAGAAACCAATAAACCTATAAATGAAGATAAAATTTTTGGGAAAAAGGATGAGGTATTTTTTTACTTAAATAATTATCGGGTTTACTTGATGGATGTAATTACATAATTGAAATAATCGAGAATTTTTAATTTAGAAAGTTAAAAAGAGTTGGGCAGATGAGGTGTCTGATGAAGAGAAGGAGTAAGATTATTAATTTAAAGTATAAGAGGATTGCCCTAATCTCGACAGCTCTCGAAGATTTTTCTGTATAATTTTCACAATGATATATCCAATCTAAATCCAAACGTGTGATGAACTAACCTAAATTTTTAGTTTAAATTAATTATTTTAATTGAATTTCGAGCAAAGTTTCTATGAAAGAAAATATCATTATTCGGGATCGGATTTTTAGATTATAACCTATTTTTTGCGAAATAGTTATGATGAATTGAGCTCAAATCCATTGTTAGTTTTTAAAAATCTTTTGTTTACGTAAAGTAATTATCACCTATTCAAGCCTATTTTAGCGTTTTGCAACCTAAAATAGGTTGTTGAAGCTTTTATGTTTTTTGTCCCCTATTTTGCCATTTTTTACACCTATTTGGTACCTATTTTAAGGACTTTACCAACTAAAAATCCGATCCCTTATTACTATTATTTTAGTCATATAATATTTTTAAAAGAATTTATTATCCATTTTAATTAAATTTAATTGAATTCCTTTGACAAAATAAAATTTTTTTTAAAAATTAATTATCTAGTTTTATTATCATCGAATGTTTATTTTTTGTTTTTGAAATTATTTTTTCAAAACACTTTTTGCTGACATTTTAAATAATTCTTTTCTAAATAACCCTTTTTGCTTTGTTTTGCATTTTTTAAACACCAAAACAAGCAATTTATAATGAACTTTGTTTAAATTAATAAATATATAAATAGAGAGTAATTACTCCCAAATAAACCAAGCATACATATTCATTCAAAACAAAATAAATTTCCACAAAATTCCCCAAAAAATGTTCTCTCCAGCATTTTTCACTGCTTATACTCCATTTAATCGCTCAATGACTCCATTTTATGGAAACCGTTGGATGGACCGATTCAATCGAATGGATAATTGGATGCACCCAATGGATTATTATTTTGATGAATATATGGGGTTTCAAGTATAGATTTTGAATAAAGATGGACCTCACAAGATAAGATATATCCCAAATACCTACTGTAAAGCACTCTCTTTAATACCTAAGGCTGTGCAGTAGGCAGCGGGTGTAATGGATAACACATCAATCATTTCTATTAAAGATGCTGGTTCGCTCCCAGCCGCTAATAACCTTTTGCACTAGCTAAAAAGGAGAGAAATAGCTATAGCCCAGCTGCTTTACTATGCCTTTCTGTGCCAACGGGGTAAAAAATTCCGAATCTAATTTCATTCAATTTTTTTAAAAGTTTTAAGCTCCTTTAGAATTTCCAGATGCGTGACCACGCCGCCCAAATGAAGATTGAACCCAATGGGGACTTTACCTACAAGGTAGTGATGCTCGGGAGAAGAAAAAACCCGGGAATCGGGAAACGGGAGTCGGGTCGGGAAATGACCTCGGGAGTCGGGATCGGGAGTCGGGAATTAGCAATAAAAAAATTTTCCAAAAATTTCAAAAATTTTTGGCGCCTTCGGCGCCAAAAATTCCGATTTTTTGCACCATAGGCAAAAATATTGAAAATTTTGGAAGGTAAAGAAGCCTTACCAGCGCCGCAGGCGAAAATTTTGAAAATTTTAGATCAAGAAGTCAGATTTCTTCCATTTTTTGCGCCGCAGCCAAAAATTTTGACTCTCATTGGAGTGAAATAGACAGGGGTCTTGAACGATCTTTAAGGGTAACTTAAGAGTATATTTCCCCGATTATTTGGAAAGATAAGCCAACAGCCTGTCCAAAAAACCTAGTAACCGCAGAGATAATCAGTGTTGGGTATTGCTGGGGGCTTTTTCTTTGAGCCAGAGCCCAGCTTTGATTTATAGTTGTTGCCATTGACCTTAAGTTCTCAGAATCCCTCGATTGGAGTGAAATAGAGGAAAAGAGAGTGAAACAGAAAAAAATATTGTTACGTTCAATTTTGGTGTAATTTTGGTGAACTAGCCAAATAGCTCTTCATATCCCCTCTATAGTATTAACACCCCCCATGCAACATTAATCATCCATTGATATCCCTCTTTATTACTGCAAATCCCTCGTTATCTCTTCAAATTCACCATAATCCTAGTAAATCACCGAAATCTTCTATACTACAACTCCACAGATTCTTCAATTTTCAGCGCCGCAGGCGAAAATTTTGAGGATTTTGGAAGATCCTTAAGCCAAAAATCTTCCCTTTTCAGCGCCGCAGGCGAAATTTTGGGAATTTTAGAAGACCAAGAGGCCAGCTTTATTCATTTTTTATAAATGAAAATATAATTTTGTCAGAAAAATCCATTCTTAGGGGTGTAAAAATTTCCCGACTTAGTCGGGAATTGACACCGGGAGTCGGGATCGGGATCGGGAGGCCAAAAACTCGGGAAATTTTCCCGAGTCGGGAGTCGGGATCGGGATACCCGAGCATCACTACTACAAGGTGGATGTATCTGGCTTTCGTCCAGAAGAATTAAATGTTGAAATTGAGGGAAATGAAGTTGTAGTTACTGGAGAACATTTCAATAAACAAAATGAAGGAGAAACAGTTCATCGTCAATTTACTCGTCGTGTCTATATTCCCGAGGGAATTAAAAAGGAAACTTTAAGTGAAAAAAATTGAAAATATTTTTAAATTTAAATATAAATTAAGATGTGAATTTGACATTAATGGACGTTCAATATTTATAACTGCCAAACAAACTGTTGAAGGAAAACGTTCAATCCCGATTGACTTTAATCCAATTAACAAAATTAAAGATACTGAAACTAATGCATAATAGAAGGGAGAATTTATGGAGATTTAAAGGAAGTATATATTGATAGGGATATTTTTAAAAAGAATTAAAAAGAATTTTAATTATTTAATGATTTCGATAACAATTAATACAAATTAAATTTATCAAACTTAAAATCTAAATAAATAATTAATTAACAATAGTTCGTTGAGGATTTAATTTCAATTTAGTTCACTATAAGATACTCCCTTGGAGCTGAGATTATATCCTATAATTTAATTTAATTATCTTAAATACAAGTCTCCCTCTTCACCATAAAACGACTTTACATCGAGGGGGAGCACCTAGAATTTTGTATATCTTATAGTGAGAGCTGAATGGATTTATGTTTGTTGAGGGTTTAATTTTTAATTTCATTCTTAAATATTTAAAAAATATTTCTAACAATTTTTGTCACAATTTGACATGGGGATAAGGAGAACAAATAAATATTTCCGTCTTCATTTTAAATTTTCCAAATGTTAGGCTCTTCATCATTTTTTGCATTTAAACTAAAAAATTATTTCAAATATTTATTTAAATTTATTTCATATACCTATTTAATTTTGCTTTTTAATTTATTAATTTGTTGACTTGATGATGCTGCTGCTTCGTTAAAACGATGAATTAACTAAATATTAAAAAAATATTTATATCTCCTTTACTAAAGATATCCTTTTGGGAGTTTAAAAAATCATATATGATAATGTGTATATATCAGGTATGGGCCCTGTCGCATTTTTAAAGCGGAAAACGGAAGGTGGAAGGAAGCGAAACGAAATAAAAATCGGAAGGAGACAGCCCATCCTTGGTGTAATGGTTTTTAATTTAGAAAAATATCTAAAACTCAGGAGTATATAATACTTGTGTTCTGTTTAACTTAATTTTAAAAACACTAAAAAATGCTAGTAGCTAAAATTATTTACAAACATTTTCAGAAAGTGGAGACAAGTTATTGTAATATTCTTGCTGTTGTTGTGAATAATCATCGTAAATTGTTGGGTGCCCATTAATTGAATTTTGCTGGTGTTTCAAAATAGAATCAAAAACTTTTTGACGTCCATGAGGGCTAAGCGGTTCATATGGAGTAGCTAAATAATTATTATGTACATAATTTAAAATTAAAAACAAATTACCTTTAGGATTTAATTTTTTAGCATTTAAAAGTTTGATTTTTTCAAATAATTTTTTACGTTGAGCTGGAGGTAAAGGATTGTAAGGAGTAGCTGAATAAAAAAAACAATTGTATATAAAATCGGATCTCACAATAAGAGGGCCTATAAACTTTTAAGTAAAATTTTAAAAAATTGGTTGGCCTTTGAGCGGTGGCATAAAAGCCGGCTATGCATCTTGAGACAGAAAATAATATTCAAAAAGTAGAAAAAAGTCCTCCTTTCCCATTGTCTTTTCTGTCAAATTCTGTGTATCCCTAGTTAAGAGATACCCCCATTTAAGTTAAACCTCATTCTAAGCCTTTTCTCAGCTACTATTTAATTTAAAATAATATTTTTTAATTTTTTTGACCTTCCGGATTTAAACCAATTTGTTTTCCCGTTACTTTTTTATTTGTTAATAACTCAGCTGTTGAATAAAAACAATTAATTATTAAAATAATAATTAAAATAAAAAAGAAGAAATTAATTTGTTTGTTCTTCATTTTTTCTTTTTTCTAAAAATTAAAAAATAAATTTTTACTAACAAACTTTATTGCAAGATATATCCTTTGAATTTAAAAAATTATACTTGGTTATCTTAGGTTTATAGCAAGTACCTTAAATTGAGGTGTAGCCGGCAAGCTTGGAGGTTCCGGATATTCAGAAACTAAAAAGATCCTAGAAATTTACGGTTCGGTCCCGGATATCAGGGGATGTCCCATGAATTGCCACCCCTAGTATTCAGTAAATATAAAGATTTGACTTTATATTTAATTGAAAATAAAGCCGTTAAAATATTAAATTTTCAAAATTATTTTTTATAAAAAATTAAGGGAAATAAAAATGAGTAAATATTCCTTCTTAATTAATCTTTAAATAGGTACCTATGTGTATATTTTAATATATTTTTCCTTTTATCTTTATCCTCAAATAAATGCCCTTTCCAATTTTAATTCACGTGAAGTAATTGATTAAGTCTGTCTATAAATATTCCTTTTGATGTTTTCAACGGAAATGCACTCAAAATCAATACAAAATTTCTCAATATTTTCTAAAATAAAATTAATTTCAAAACACCTTCAGTATTAGCTAACATTAATTCAAGAAACTTTTTTAGTTCTGTTGGCGTGGAGTGGGAAAGATGTATGTAACTCAAGCTCACTAGCTTGATATTTATAGGTTCACCTGTAATTTTTTCTACTTATATGTATTAGTAATAATTTGAGGGTTGGATAAACAAAATATTAAATCAATTTGTGCTAATGTTTGTCTTATGGCTTGCAAATTTTTGTCTTGGACACCTTTTTTATTTTCAGTGTTAATATGAGGCTATTTTAGTTGAACAACAATAAACTGCTAATTGATGGAATTTTTTTGTGTTCTTGTATTTTTGAGATTAATGTTAAAAGTTAAACCTTACTAAAAATATAAAATTGCTAAATCACCCCCGCCCCCCTCTCTAATAAAAATCAGAAGAGACTTTCAAAGAATCCAAACAATTCTTTTTATTTCAACAATTATTAAAATAACAACAACAAAAAAACCTTTAAATTGTTTTCTCCTTTCAATTTAATTTATTCATCATTTCCCCCAACTTTAACTTTCTTCAAAATTTCCTCCATTTCACTTTTAGCCTCATCATCACGCCCATAATTTTTAACAACAGCCACAGAACAACCAACAATTTTCCTAGCCTTCCCTTCTTTGTCCACTTTACATTGTCCAACCATTTGGCCTAATTCTGATTTATCTTCAACTTCAATAATTGGAATTCCGTGTTGATTGCAAAGAGAACGAACTAGCTTTTCATAGCTTGGCTCATCACAACCTTTTGCATAAATACAGAAAAAAGCCTCACGCCTTAAAAACATAAATTAAAAGCACTCCCAAGAATCTAATGGAAAATAGGGGTGTTATCCCGCCTCAACTATACACTAACGATAAATGGAACATGAAGGCTGTTTACTCCTTTTGTTAAAATGTTAGTATTAAACCTGACAGACCCTATTTTTTCCTCCACAAATTCTTTCCTGTAAAAGAATAGACAGACATTCTTTTGTCCATTTCATTTGCCTTTCTAATTTTGCCAATAAACAATTAAAAGGAATTAATTTTTATTCCCCCTTGGATAGAAGAAAGGAAAATTGGTATGGAAGAAGAAGAAATGTCTGACCATTCTGCAAATATATATGAAAACACTTGGGAAGGAAAAATGGGGCTGTCAGGTTCAATATTACCGTCAAAATTTTATAATCTACTAGGAAATTCCACGACTCTTTGTCTCGGGTATGTCATCTCAATGGAAACATTTTTCGCTAATAAATGGTCGAATCCGGGCCCAAGATTCGAAAACTATAAAACCTTCTCAAAAACAAATTAAAAACACAAACTTGTCCAAGGTACGGGCAGCTTCATTAATACCTCGAGCAACTCCATCCGCAATCAAAGCAGACTTCAAAACACGTTTAAGAACTTCGTTTGTTTCTAAAGATTCACTAGAAAAGTTAAAGGAATAAATTTAAAATTAAATAAAAATTAACGTCATTTTTAATCCTCGCAAGATGCTCCTTTACAAGTCCTCGCAACTGCGTTTATTTTTAAATTTTTTAAATCTAAAAACAAAATTTTATTAAAGAAATGATTAGAATCAAAGTTTACAGCGAAATAAAAAAATATTTGAATGACTTCCGAGTAAATTTCCCTTCAATCTTACAAAATTTACTCTTTTTCTTTTTCCACTTTCTCTCATTTATGTAAAATGTCTAAATGGAAAATTTCAAAACACCAAAAATCAAAACACCAAAATAACGTCAAATTACAAAATAATAAGGTTTTAATTTGTGTAGTTTTTGTTAATTAAAGATTGTCTTTAACTTGATAAAATATTTTCACAAAATATTCTGAAATAATTCTACAGAAAATATTCTCTGCACTTTGATAGCGACAAATTAACTATAAACATATTCAGTTTTTGACCAAATAAAATATTTTTCTCTTCTGACCGAAGTGAAATACACCAGAAATAGTTTAATTGCAAAACAAGTTCCAGCTAGTCATTTTATAAATTATTAATTTTATTTTTAATTTTAGATAATTTTTATTTAAAAATTTTTTCTTTAAAATTAAAATTTTCCAATTTATATTTTGACTTTGTTTTATTTCACACATTTAATTAAAGACGAAAATGAATTTTGAACTTAGCAATTCAAAACGTTTATTTTTTTATTAGTTTTTTAAATAATTTTTTTTAATTTTTACAGAAATTGGTGTTGGTTTAGCTCTATTTGGCGTTACTTTTATTGGATTAGGAATTGTTTTATTTCTTGACAAGGCTCTTTTGGCTATTGGAAATGTAAATATTTTTTTAATTTATTAAATTTGTGGGGGAGTTTTATTTTTAATATGCCCAAATAGTTTATCTCTAAAATTTTGTTTTTGTCACTTTCTGCGTTCCATAAATCTAAAATTCCGTCTACAATTGTATTGGCTTCTTATAACATTTGTCATGTCAACTTGGGAGTAATTGATTTTTTGGGACCCGCATTCGACTACTTTTTATTTACTACTAAATTATTTTTAATAAAATAAACTAATATAAGTAAAAAGAAAATTAAGTTTGCAATTGTGTATTAATTTAAAAAAATAAAATTCGAATTTAAAAAAAAAATTTTTTTTCTTTTCCAAAAAATCATTTAAAGTTATTATTTATTGCTGGATTAACACTAGTTATTGGAATACAAAGAACATTTATTTTCTTTTTTCAATGGCACAAAATTCGTGGCTCTGCACTCTTTTTTGGAGGGATATTTTTAGTTTTACTTGGATGGGCGTTAATTGGAATTATTGTTGAAATATGGGGATTTGTGCTTCTTTTTGGGTTTTTTGAAATTTTTTTAATTTTTAAAATTAATTCTTTTAGCGGTTTTCTACCGTCAGCAGTTAATTTTCTTCGTCAAATGCCTGTAATTGGGACAATATTAAATTTGCCTGGAATTCGGCAGGTTTTGAATTAAAATTATTTTTAAGTTTTTTGGGAGAGGACCTTTTATTTTTTGACTTTATTTTTTAGTAAAATTGAAATTTTTTGTTGATTTCCGTATTATTTTTTAGAATTTTTTTCCAAAACTGAATATTAAGTAGGTCCCCCGTCCCCGGGGAAGGGAATTCCCCGGGAATAACCTACCATTTCATCAAACTTACCGTTTATCAAATTTTATTAAAATTTTGGATATTTTGAGTTTTATAAAAATTCCTCGGAGAAAAGCTCACGAGGGACTCCCCGAACCCAAATTTCCCGCAACCTCTGTTCCTTGTAAGCCCAGCCCCCGCCTCATAATATTGAACCCTAGTATTAAGCAAAAAGTTTCTCCATTTTTTTAATTTGGAAATTAAAATTTTTTTTGTTTTCAAAATATTTATAATTTAATTATTTTTTTTTCAGTGTCTTGACAGATTTGCTGTCGTGCACAAATACCCAGTCTGAATGATATTACATATAATTTTTTATTTTTTTGTTATTTCTTCCCTTGTAGAGAAAGACCAATTGATGCTCATTGCCTTTTAAATATTTAAATTAATTTTTAAAAATTTCGGTTTTTATATAAAATTTAAAAATATTTAATTTTTCTCTTTTTTTCCTCTGACTGTCATTCCCCTCAATTTATTTCTTTTATATATTTATGTATACATTTTTATGTTTTTTGTGTAATTTGGTTGAAAGAAAATTTTGTTTTTATATAAAAATTTATTTTTTTTTACTTAATAACAATCAAATTTTTTATAATGGGGATGAAGATATTTTCTGTATTTCGACTGCGATTAATCTCTTCCAAGTCTGAAAATATAGGGAAAAAATTTTTTGTGAAGAGTCGTTATAGGGAGATTTCAATGTACATATTCTCGATAATAGGACCGAGGGTTAAAAAAATTAAATACTAAAATATAGTTTTTTTGGCATTTTTTCATGTACTGACGTTGAATTATTTAAAATTTTTAAATAAAAGTGTTCCAAAATTTCTTTGATTTCTTGTGTTAAATAAAGGGAAAACCCGCAAAAATTTTTCTGAACATCTATCAACAAGAAATATAAAAAAAAATGAAGAATTGAATGGGACATGTAATATTGAGAAAATTGTTTCAATAAATAATTTTATGCAATTTAAAATAATAGAGACAATTTTTGGTAATTTAAATAAATACATTTTAGTTAATGAGAGGAATGGGAGAAGAGTTAGTTAAATTTACAAGTTTTGACAATTTTTAAATTTAAAAAAATGGGGAGAGAAAAAGTTGGAGAATGGTTAATTGGAGGGAGGGGGGTATAAAACACTTCAATGGAATATATATATCAACAGAATCCATCGTTTTTTGTATCTTTAAATTTTCTCAAATCTTTTTCTTTAAAGCACGTAATTTTCCATTTTACAATCGTTGATAGCCATTTTTTGAGTTTGACTTTAAAAGCCCACCACCAATTTTCTTCCACCATGACTTTAAAAAATAAAATAAAAAATATTTTAAATTTTTATAAAACCTTTTTCTTTTTTTCCTCTCCTTCTACATATTTAATTTTTAATTCATTTAAGATTTCATCCACTTGTGTAATAATACCTTTATCTTCACAAGCTTCTTTGCCTTCTGCAGTTGCAGTTTTATCATTTACTATATGAAGACAAGCCTCATATGAATAAAAAACTGTTTTCAAAACTTTCAAATTCTCCTCATTCTGAAAATTTTAATTTTTAATTAAAAAAAGGATTTCAATAAACTTGTAGGCTAAATCTAATAAATTATAATACCTAGACTTGCCTACATTTATGGTTACTTTATGGTTAAAAATTTATCTAATCCAACCCCAATAATTCCCTAATATGGACCAAACGATGAAAATTTTTATTTGAATAGCGAGTAAAATATGAAATGAAAAAATCCTTCAACTCAAAGAATTTTCAACTTTTAGGCTATAAAATCTAAGTTTAAATTTTATAAATTTTTATATTAAAATTAAAACCGATTCTTTTTTTTGCAATATTTCGAAGTTTACATAAGCACCGGATTCTAAGTTTAAATTAGTCAAAACTTCTTTAAAATTTCCTATTTTGTTGTCAAAATTATTTATTTCTAATATTTTATCTGGTAAATTTGTTCGTTTACTTCCAATAACACAAATTAATTGAATAATAAATATAACAATTAAAAGATGTGAGGAAGTTTTTCGAAGTAAATTCATAATCCTTTTAAATATCTGGATTTTATCTTAAAAAATAATTTTCGAAAAAAAAACTTTTTTAATAAAATTTTAAGTTAGAAAGGATAATTGGTATATATAACATTATAAGCCATTAAATGTTGTAATGTTTCTGGTTGTAGAGCCCCCCACCCTACGTTGTACCCTCCCCTCCCCCCTCTTTAATTTTAGAATTTTTTTAAAGTTTCTGCTAATTTAAAATAAAATTAAAATATTAAAAATAAAATTTTGTAAGTAAAAATTGCGGAATACTTTATATAAAAATATTTAAAATTATTAGAGAATAAAAATTAATTTTAAATTTGTTTAATTTTTTAAAAATTAATGTTCCCGCCTTTTTGTTTAAATTTTTTTAAATTTATTTTTTTATTTTTCCAGATTATTCTCCTTAATTTCAGAATTTTTTTTATCAGAAGTAGGGTAAAAAAGGAAGAAATCTGCTTCCTGGTCTTTTTTGGCTTTGCTGGACCTATATGTAAATCAAAAAATTTTTGGCCTGAAGTGCTGAAATTTTTATTTAAGAATTTTTTTCTATTCTATTTTTTCTATTTACGGGGATATTTAATAATTTTATTTTTTATTTAATTAATTTTATTTTAAAATTAAGGGTTTTTAATTGAAGGAGAAAGTGAGGAAAAATAGAATTAAATTTAAAAATTAAATTAAAAATTTAAAGAGAAGAATGGCATTGGCAATAAAAATGGAGGTATATATAAAATAATGCCTCTCCCCCCTCCCTCCCCTCCACCCCCCCCCCTCCCTCCCCTCCCCTCCCCTCCCCTCCCCTCCCCTCCACCCCCCTCCCTTCCTCCCATCACCTCCCCCCTCCCTTTCCCCAGCCCTCTCCCCTCCCCTCCCCTCTTCCCCAAAAATTTTTTCCTGCTAACCTTCTATTTAAATTTATTATTTTGAAATGCCATTGTTTAACTTCTCTCCTGCCTAGGCATTGATTTTAAATAATTTTATTGAGAGAGGGGTGATAGAGAAAGAGAGAAAACTCGAGATAAAATTTTAACAAAATACAAAAAATAAAATACAAAATAGTTAAATTTGGAAAGGAAATTAATTTTTTAAAAATTAAAAAAATTTAAATTGATTTTTTAATTAAAAAGAATTTTTTTAATAAATTAAATAAAGCAATAAATGTTTTAGAGTTGCAATGTTTTTCTCTAAGTAATTAGGGTCTTACACAAATACAAAAAACAATTTCATGGCCATTAAATAATTAAATCGGACCTTGTTTGAAAATACTCCCTTGGATTTTAAATAAGGAATAGGATAAAACATATTCACTCATATTAACTGAACAATAAGGTTGGCGGTTCCGGGTATCCGGAACCGAAAAAACCTCGGATATCCGAAATCTTCGGTTCGGATACCGGTTCCGGTTCCGGATATCCGAAAGTTTCGGTTCGGATATCGGTTCCGGTTCCGGATATCCGAAATTTTCGGTTCGGTTCCTAGAACTAGGGAAAAAAGAAGAAATCTTCCCCAATGGCCTTTCAAACTTTTCAAAATTTTCGCCTGCGGCGCCGAAAAGGGAAGAATCCTGGCTTAAGGATCTTCCAAAATTCTCAAAATTTTTGCCTGCGGCGCAAAAAAAGGAAGAAAATTGGCCCTGGATTTTCCAAAATTATAAAATTTTCGCCTGCGGCGCTGAAAAATCAAAGAAAACTGACTTAAGGACCTCCAAAATTCTTAAACTTTTCGCCAGCGGCGCAGAAATTGAAAGAAATCTGGAGCCTTGGCTTACCATAATTTTTAAAATTTTTGCCTGCGGCGCTAAAAGTGAAAGAGTTGTAAGCTCACATACGGTGCTTATTTACAAGTTTAAAAAAATGTTGATGTATTTGGATGTCATATAGAGGGATCAAGGATGATGAGACTAGACGGGATATATCAATAATAATAATATCAAAGGGGATATATGATTAAATTTAAATATCAATAAATCCCCGAGAGATATAGGTAGATCAATAAATCCCTCTATATCTCTCGTCATTGCCAACCTCCAGCTCTTAATCCACCAATATACCCGATGTCTCTATTAATTCCCCAAATTAATAGAGACTGTTAATCGTAAATTCCCTCAATATCTTTGTTAATTCCACAAATCCATTCATATTGATCTTAATTCCTTTATATAGAAAGAGTTTGCAAAAGTTTAGCCACCGGGCAGGATTCGAACCTGCGACCACCTGCTAGTTGTTGCTAGGCTTTCGCTCACTATATGCAGGAGCTCTACCGTTGAGCTACCGGGGCATCGACTAATGCTTTCTCTTTTTCCTTTTTAGATCGTTTATCCCCCGCCTAAGCGTTTTAAATGCTGCTAGGTGAATCATCCTTACAATATCATCCATTGTGACTTAACTTTACAGCGCCGCAGGCGAAAATTTTGAAAATAAAAATTTCGGTTCCGGTTCCGGATACCCGAAATTTTCGGTTCGGATATCGGTTCCGGTTCCGGATATCCGAAATCTTCGGTTCGGATACCGGTTCCGGTTCCGGATATCCGAAAATTTCGGTTCGGATACCGGTTCCGGTTCCGGATATCCGGAGATTTCCTAGGAACCGCCATCCTTACTGAACAACCGAATAGAGGTCAGATATCTATCCAAATCCTACTTGATCCCTCCAAACCAATTAAACCAAAAAGTTTTTTCACATAATTCTAATGTTTTATACCAAATTAATAAATATAGGTTGAGTTGGTTAATTAGGTTAGGTAATTAAATGGATAGGCAAACAGGGGAAATAATATTCTAATTTTTAAAGTTGATATTTTGTATTTAATCTCTAGGGCCTTGATCTTCTGGGGTGGACCCAAGGTTTATCTATACTATTAAACTTATTATAAAATTAAAAATAATATAGTTATTTAAATTATTCTTCAGACCAAAACTAATTAGCTTATAATTGTTAAATTTTGCTAAAAAATTGAAATTATTTGTATTCAAAGAATCAATCAAAAGTTTGTTTCATTCTGTATCTTTTGTCAAACTGGGTGATATTTATTAAAAGAAATAAATATACCTATGTGCAATTTCAATAAATAATTTTATGAAATTTAAAATAATAGAGACAAATTTTGATAATTTAATTTTAGTTAATGAGGGGAATGGGAGAAGAGTTAGTTTAATTTACAAGTTTTGACAATTTTTAAATTTAAATATGGGAAGAAAAAAGTTGGAAATGGTTAATGGGGGGAGGGGGGAGGGGGGAATTGTAATTGAATG